CCTCTTCGCGCGCCGCTCCCTACCTTACCTTAGTGCAGGCCTTCCTTCTCGGCCGACACCACACCACCCACCCGAACAACGTCGTCTGCCACTTTGCGCGCGAGACAACCTGTGCTTTGCACACTGGACTTGGGATTTGCATACACACTGCACTGCACATTTGACACAGCACAGGGGGTCTAGAACTGCAGGAGACTCCTGGCCATCCACAATCGCCTTCTCCTCTCTTTCTCTGCTCGTCCCGGTCCCGAAAAGAACTCCTTCCGCGCTGCTGCTTGACGACACTGGTCCGAAAAAGCGCCCACCCCAAGTCGAATTCCTCCTTCGCCCACACCCACAGGCACCCCTACGTGTACCCTTCCTCACCTCCTCCTGCTGCCGCTCCTCCGCACCCCCTCCCGCCTCCTCCCAGCAGCAAGTGGCAGCAGCAGTCGAGCCAAAGCAGACTGGACACGAAAAAAAATCTCGCCTCGAGTCGCGACGCTGAGAACAGGGACCACGCACCAGGCACAGCTCCTGATCAACCTGCACCCAGGGTGTCGCGCATCCACGCCGCTGCTTCCTTCCATCCACGCCTCTTCCCCTGGTCGACCTCACAAGTCCAATCGTGGCTCCATAAAAATTTCTAATTAAAATCGAAATGGCTCAAGAAGACACCACAAGCATCAGCACAAGCAGCACCAGTGCCAGCACCTCCAGCGTGCCTGTACCTGCGCCTGCGCCTGTGCCTGTGCCAGTTGTGCCTGATGTCAACGACGTCGCCGCTCCTAGTACGGATCCCTCGACAACCTCTACTAATTCCATCCTTCCCCCGACTACTTCGACCTCTCCTCCTCTTCCTGTCGCTTCTGCTCCCGCTCCCGCTCCCCCCTCCACGACACCGACCTTGACCTCCATCGAGACCCCGACTCCCTCAGCCGAGACCCCGTCCGTCGCGACTGCGAACGCGTCCGTACCTGCCACTGCTGCAGCACCTGCGACTGGTCCTTCGATCACGAACGGGACTGCGACTGAGACTGAGCCTACGCCTACGCCTGCTGTGGCAGCTCCTGCGCCTCTCCCTCCTCAGCAGAACGGCCAGCAGAACGGCCAGCAGAACGGCGACGCGAGGGCGTCACACTCGCCCGGCATGGCGCATAACCAGCACCCTCATGGCTCCCAGAGAGGCTACCCGAGCCCCAGTGCCTTTCCCTCACCTGGTCCTATGCCGCCGAACCAATATGCCTACCATCCTCAGCAGAACCAAGCTCCGGCCGACCCATATCGAGCCAGTCCTGGCGCGCCGATTCCCTCTCTGCCGAGCATGAAGAGCCTCGAACACCACTACCAACAAAGTGCGCCGCAGCCTCCTCAGGCGATGCCGATGCAGATGCAGATGGCGCACAACCAGGGCATGCAATACTACCTCCCGCCAGGAGTACAGAGCAATCCATATATGACGCAGGATCTGAATCACTTGAGATATCAAATCCCCCACGGACACGATCCTAGGTTGATGCGCGGTCCCGGTGGCCCGAAGAAGGTATGTTTGAAGGATATGCAAAGAGACGGAAGAAGGCTGCTCCGGCAGTAGTAGTAGCTCGTTTGGATAAAAGCTGACGGTTGGGGTTCACCTTTTTCTTACTAGGAGATCAAGCGCCGGACAAAGACAGGTTGCCTGACTTGTCGTAAACGTCGTATCAAGGTTAGTGATGATTTCTCGTGAAGTTCTGTTCTGTTTGTCTTTTTCTTCTTTTTCATATCCCCTTTTTACTCCCCACGATTTGGGCGTTGTCGAGGCAATTGGGGAAATTTTCTCGAGACTCCCATCCGAGAAAGCGCGCGCGCGCGCAAGGAAGGCAGCATTGGAGAAGCTCGGGAATGCAAAAGATGGCAAAGAAACAAACTTTACGATAAGCGAACCGAGTCGTGGTTTCGCCAAAAAAAAAAAAAAACCGGTCGCTTGATGTCGCTTGGTCTGGAGCTACTGCGAAGCGAGGACGGGAGCCATGCCTCGAACCACGTTCCGGGATCGCGCCCGCGCCCACGCCCGCAGGGAGGAGCAATCTTCCGTTCCTGCAGAACCGACCGCCAATCGACCGCCGCGCCCGCTTGCCCGGCAAAGGCCCCTCCCCCCCCCCCCCCCCCCCCCCAAAAAAAAAAGCCTCCAAAAGCCTCCAAGCCCCAAGCCACCAGCCACCCCGTCTGTCACGACTTGCCGCTAGCTCGTTAAGCTTAGCCTCGTCCCATCTGCGACATTCATCGACTCCAACTCCAGTTCACCTTACCTTGTCATCATCCCCAATACACATCATACACAACGCATAATCCTCGCCCGCAAACGGCATCTGCGTCTGTGTATTCACCCGTGTCGCATTCCTCGATTCTCATATCCCCAATTGCTTCACATCATCGTCGCCATTCTCATTCTTCACTCACGAGTCTACTCTTGATTGAGCTTTTTGCTCACTGCATCCACTCAACCAAAGCCGCCGTTTCTAACCATCTCGTTATAGTGTGACGAGGCTCACCCGTCCTGCAACAACTGTAAGAAGTCGAAGCGAGAGTGTTTGGGGTACGACCCCATCTTCAAGCAGCAGCCGGGGCCTTCCGTTATCCAGCCCGCTCCGAACGCCCAACGGGTGCCGACGCCGACTATCCCATCAGTGCCATCATCCGTCCCACCTCCAGTCCCGACCGTACCTTCATCAACTCCTGTCGCGCCTCAGGTGCCCGTGCCGGTAGCTCCATCAAACCCTTACGGGAACCAGCCCGCCGTCTTGCCCAGCTCGTACAATCCTCCCGTCGCATCTTCGCACGCCCCTCTCGATCCAGCCTTGAATTCTGCTGCATCCGGCATCAAACCCGAGCCCACCTACGACTTTGCAGCACCGATAGATCCAGCTCTGCAGAACCTACCCGCCCTGGCGACGTTACACTCTATTCAGACTCAGTCGTTCTCGGGCGAGCAAAGGGCAGGCTTCGACAACCATCTCAGAGGTGCGACGCTCCCGCTATCATTGTACATGCCTTGTTCTCTTTCAGCCGTTGCTTCGCTCTCAAACCCTCATACTAACACGACCCACGCAGCCACCAGAATGAAGGTCGATGACCTTATCGGCCTCCTGGGCCCCGCTGCTCCCACCCAGGAGATTGCCCTTACACCGGAGCTACTCACCGAGATCATCAACGTCTATCGCGAGGTCTACGCCGTCGGTCTTCAGTCCTTCTTTGAAGCCAACTATTTCCAGAAGCAGGATGCCCAGGGAAAGTTTGCCTTTGAGCACAGCCAACAACTCCTGCGCCAGTTTGCCTCGTTCCTCAAGATCGTTCAGTCTGTTCCTGCCAACGACCATACCCAAATGACCCATTCCGGAGTTCTCGAGACTCGGTTAATCTGGGCCCTGGCCATCTTGCCATGCAACAGCGCACCCCCTTCGTCCAACGCCGATGCCAAGGTTCTGCCACCTCCGGATGACCTGACGGAAGCAGCCAACCGAGTCAAGGTCATGGAGACTCTCCTCTGTGGCGATTTCTTGTCCTCAAATCCTCTCGCACCTCCCGTTCCTGACACGCAGCCTCATCGCGAACAGGAGTTTGAGTTCTGGTATAATCTCGCGCAGTACCTGTGTTATTACGACCCAGCAAAGCGCGACGAGGTACTCGGCAAGCTCCGAATGCAGCTCGGTGGCAGAGAAAACCGAGATCTCATCTACTCTATTGCTATCTCACGAGAGCTCTCCCCTCGTGTTGAGGTTGGTTTTGAGCGGAATGTGCCTCAGCATATGGATGAGTCCGACCCTAAGAACCGACTCTTCGTGGCAAACAAGTTTATTCAGGATGAGGCACAAGTCACTGGAGGTACAACGAATGTCGTGAGGCGATTCGGCGAGATTGCCATCAGAGCGTATATCAGTCCCGGTGTCAACATAGCGGCACACCCCCACCAGGCTGCTCCAGCACAGCCTTGATCATTACCTATTGATCCAACCAGATTCTCCTTATCTTTCCTATCAGCATTCACACTCTGCAGCATTTTCCAGGCTCAAAGGGAGGCGGGGGAGAACAAAAAACCGTGTAATTTCGGAGGCGTTCACAGGGATGGGGAGGGAAGCATGGCTTTCTTCCCTTTTGTGATTTCATTTTCCTTTGCATCCAAGCATGCGGGCGGCAATACGCTGCTGCTCGTCCTATATTTTCACGGCCGACGGCATCATCTTGTACAACAAGTAGTTCCCCCCTAAAAACTAGTGATTATTCAGGCATGGCGGCGGTGAGGTGGGCAGAAAAAGAAAAGTGGGTTTTTTTTTTTAGTACGGCGGTGCTTTGAGGAACGCGAGGCTTGGTAGAGGTCACCCTTGGGACTTCCTGAGGGACACTACCAGACTTCTGGATCTCGGCACTACTGATGCTCTGTACGATATTAGACAGCATGGCCTAGGTCCTGGATTAAGGAGGCCAGTAGAAATCAAGAAATTTCCAAGTAGCATCGTTGCTTCTCGTATCGTGTCATGATGATGTTGTTAACTGTGACGCTTGAGGTTGATGGCCGAAGCGGCAGGTGAACATTGATGAAGCCATACGCCGACCGGCGACGTTCAAGTCAGGCTAAGCAAAGGGCCGGAGCGGGACAGATGTTCGGCAGCGTGGCCAGACATAGGACCCAACGGGTGTCGACGATGAGGTCTTTTACGGGCGAGCAGATGCAGGGATCAATGCAGGTGACCACGATGAAGAGCCTAGCCGGCGATTAGCGAGGTTTCGATGCCGATTCGGAAACGCATGCTCAATGATACTACTCCTTCGCCAAGATGTCTTATCTTGGGGTCCATGCGATGTCGGTGATGTTACTTTCAAAATTGTTGTGGTGTTTGATTGTCAAAGATGCGATTTTTCCCGAGTCTTTTACCTAATACCTAAGGAAAAACCTTGCGATTTGTCGTATATACGGCCAGCTTCGGATCTGGAGGTGGAACACTTAGGGTTACCGAATTCGGCAATTTCACCATGAAAAGAGCTCACGACAAGTTCAGTGCGGGACATTCTTGGATGATTGTCGTTTTTCTCCATCAATTGTTCACTTTCTTACAGTCTAACTACGCTTCACGAGTTCTACGATAGTTGAGTTTTCATATCCTCCAACTCCCCACCGTAGGTAGTACATCCACTTGCCTCGCCGTTGAGTTGTGGGGTTTCGTACGCCAAGGCAAGTTTGAGCAACGTGAGCTAACATACATCTCAGTGAGAGAGTCTTTTTGCCAACGGAAAAAACGTTTCTGTAAACGTCTGTTTTGGCGGTCTTGCCAGCAATCATCGTGTGACTCGCGGAGTTCCGCTAGACTGGTTGAAAACAGCACAAACGGCTTGTTAGTAAGCGCCAAGTGCAGACTAGATCTATACTACACTTTTGCACTTGAACGAAAAAGAAACTCACGATGGGCTTCCGTTACTCACCGTGGCTTCACGATCATCATTCAACTCACACAAAAATGAAATCCCCGATCCCCGACTACCTCAACCGCGTCCTCGAGAATGCGCGCCCCAACGAGGCCGGCGCGCCAGCGGGCTACATTGATGTGTTGGCCAAAGCAGACACGTCCAAAATGGCCGTCGCTCTCGCCATGGTAGACGGGAACCTCTACTCGGCAGGCGACGATCGCGTCGAGTTCTCCATCCAATCCATTTCCAAAGCCTTTGTCTACGCCCTCGCCATCGAGGACGCAGGCCTCCCCGCCGTCCTCGAGAAGATTGGCGTCGAGCCCTCAGGCGACGCATTCAACCGCCTCTCCCTCGAGCGAGGCTCCAACAGGCCCATGAACCCCATGATCAACGCCGGCGCCATCACGGCACACTCCCTCGTCGTATCCCCCTCCGCAACGTTGGAACAGCGCACGGAACGCATCCTCTCCGCCCTCTCGCGTCTCGCGGGCCGGCAACTCCACGTAGACGAAGAAGTCTACGAAGCGGAACTCAAAGACGCGGACCGGAACATGGGCATCGGCTACATGCTCAAAGCAGCCGGCATCATCACCTGCGACCCGCGCGAGGCCGTGAAGGGCTACATCCGCCAATGCTCCATCAGCGTCAACGTCCGCGACCTAGCCGTCATGGCAGCCACGCTCTCCAACGGCGGCGTGCAGCCCCTGACCGGCGAATCCGTCATCCCGCAGACCAGCGTCCGGCAGGTTCTTTCAGTGATGACCACGTGCGGCATGTACGACGCCGCAGGCGACTGGGTCTCCAACGTCGGCATCCCCGCCAAATCCGGCGTCGCGGGCGGGATCATAGGCGCGTTACCTGGCCAAGTCGGCCTCGCTTCCTTTTCGCCGAAACTCGATGAACGGGGAAATAGTGTGCGTGGCGTAGCCATGTGCGAGCAGCTCTCGCGCGACATGGGACTGCACATGATGGACGTGAGCCAAATCGCCAGCGCGACGGTACGGACGTCAGTAGCGACCATCGTCGCGGGCGCGCACGAGCCGCATAACCCAAACTGCCAGCGGGAAGTCGTCATCTTCAGCCTGCGCGGAGCGGTGCGGTTCGCCGGGTCCGAGAGGTTGACGAGGGCGTTGGCGCGAGAGCTGGGGTCGCCTGATCCGGAGGACCCGGGTTCGGGGAGGCATGAGAAGGCGTGTGCGGTGGTGTTCTCGTTTCGGGATGCGTATTCGCTGAATGCGATTGCGCGGCGGATCGTGCATGAGGATATTCGGCGGTTGGTGCTGGATGAGAGGAGTGTTGTGGTGGTTGATCCAAATGGGGTGTTGGGGATGGAGGTTGATGTGGACGGGGAGACGCCGTTTCCGCATGTTTTCACGTCGGAGACGGAGGCGAGGGATTTTATTGGCGGGGTGGGCTGTCAGACTGTTTTTAAGGAGACTAACTGGTGATTTATTGTGCTTTACTGATACCATTTTATATTTTTACGCTGGAAAGACGTTTGTTGCTGTGAATGACTCTGCTTGTGGTCTGTGTCAGGTATTCTCAAGGTCTTTGGTGAAGCAAGTCTGACGATAAGGAGCTCCAAGATGCCCCAGAATTTGGTTACAACTAAAGCCCCCTTCGACTGAGTAGCCATAGTAGGCCGTGTGTGCTTCACATGGAGTTCACCAAGACTTGGAAGTCGAAGAAGGATAGACACTTGTTTGAAAGAGATGCTTCTTGTCGGAGAGTTTGCGTTGATCCTACAGCAAGAACCTGAACCTCGAGGACTGTTCATCGCAGGGATCGTCCACTTCGTTCTACTTGTCTGTCTCACTGAACAAGCTGGTTCTCTGCTAGTTCATATCGAATCATAGTATACTTTGAAACGCTTCTTCATGCCATGGCCAATAGAAGCCGCAGATGATGTGACCTACTCATTCGAAACTTACTCTTTTACAAAGACTTGTCGTCGTTGTATCGAGGTTCTCATGTGCAAGTGACGTTGTTCGCATTTCTCATTACCCCCCCCCCCCCCCCCCCCCCCCCCTCAACCACGAGACAAGACTCGTCCCATATGAAGCCGCGATTGTATGTAAGGCCAATCTCTGGGTCTTGGTGTTGTTGAATCCGTGGCGTATTTGAAAGTGATGAAAGCCTCTCAGCTCTATCAATTATATCCATCGAAGCTGGCTTACTCTGCTTCTCCCAATGCCTTGACTCGGCCTTCTCCCCGAAAAAGCCGGAGTGTCTGACACGGCCCTCAACTCGGGTCTGAGATAAGATGCCGGGGCCGGCGGGGTGCCACTCACGCCCTTTCACGCCTTGTAGAGACACATCGTGCAACCGCCAGATGACCCTGCAAGTAGAAACATCCCATTCGAACCAGGAGGTCACAGTAGAGAATCGAATCACCTCACCCGTCTTCAGCCCCCTCAAGCACGACTTCTTGGTGAGGCCGTTGTAGGAAGACGAGTTTGGGCGACCAATTGAGCTCAACCCCGCTGATCAATCCCCACTTTCCCATTTGAGTCGACTCCCAACGGGAAAGCCACCCCGCGCCGCTGTATCTCAACTCCGACTTGGCGGCATCAACTCGGCGAGGTGACGAAATTCCTTGCAACCTCAATTCCATCATCACAAGTCAGATTGATTAGTCTAGTGTGTTTCTTTTCTTATCCCAAGCATCGTCACGAAGCCCCTGGGCTTCTGCAGAGTCCTCAACCTCTCGACAGAGAAGCGCCAGAGGGAAGGATGTGAATATCTAAGCTGACTACCACCTCGCATACTAGGTAGTCAAGCTTGAAATTCCATCAAAGAAAAAATACACCTCAGGAGAAAGCTCATTCCAAGTCAATTCTCTCAACACCGCAGCCATGTCTAAGCCCATAGTCCTCCAACTGGGCCAAATCGAGCAGTACATCCCCCCCTCCCCTTCGTCTCACCCTCATCAGTCCCTTCATGCTCCCCAAACATCCAGCCAGTCTTCACATCCTCCCATAACCTCCTATATCGTCTTCTCTCGTCTCTACTTCAAATACTTGAACCAAAGCTAACAAACACAACCCGCAAGCGCCCACGACACCTGGGCATCCCTCGCCGACGTCGCCCATATCATCAAACCCAAGGCCACCAACCGCGCCGAGTTCCTCCAGGAGTGCAAATCCGGCGCCCTCGACGGCGTAGTGGCAATCTACCGCACCTTTGCAAGCGTCCACATCACCGGCCGCATCGACGCCGAGCTCGTCGCCGCTCTCCCTTCCAGCGTAGGCTTCATCTGCCATAATGGTGAGTCTCCCCCGTCTTATCCTCTTCACCGTTCAGAACATGCTCGATATCACATCCACCCAACCGAAACCCCTCACAACATCAAATCAAACTACTCAGCACTAACCGAAACCCCCCAGGCGCCGGCTACGACCAAATCGACATCCCAGCCTGCACCCCCCGCCCAATCCTCGTCTCAAACACCCCCACAGCAGTCGACGACGCAACAGCAGACATGGCAATCTTCCTCATCCTCGGCGCCCTCCGCAACCTCAACGCCTCCATCCTCTCCATCCGCGCCAAGCAATGGAAAGGAACGCCCCCTCCTCCCTTGGGCCGCGACCCGCAGGGCAAAATCCTCGGAATCCTAGGCATGGGCGGCATCGGGCGCAACATGGCCAAGAAGGCGAGGGCGTTTGGCATGGAGGTGCGGTATTATAACCGTACGAGGCTGGACGGCGCCTTGGAGGAGGAGTGTGGTGCGGAACATGTTGATTTTGAGACGTTGTTGCGGGAGAGTGATGTGATTTCGTTGAATTTGCCTCTAAACGTATGCCCACCCAGATCCGTCTACACTCCATCATGACTGACAATAACAGGCCCACACCCGGCACATAATCTCAACCCCCCAATTCGACCTCATGAAACCCGGCGTCGTGATAGTCAACACAGCCCGCGGCGCAGTCATCGACGAAGCCGCCCTCGTATCGGCCCTCGACTCTGGAAAAGTCGCCAGCGCGGGTCTCGACGTCTTTGAGAACGAGCCCGAGGTCCACCCGGGTCTGCTCGCCAACCCCAATGTTCTTATTGTCCCGCACATGGGCACCTGGACGCTGGAGACGAGCGTCAAGATGGAGAAGTGGGCGATTGGCAATGTCAGGAGGGCGGTGACGGAGGGAAGGTTGGATAGTGTTGTTGTTGAGCAAAAGGGGCTGGTTGAAGGGAAGTGAATAGCGACTTGGACGCTTTTCTGGCCGGTGTGTTGAACTCTTGACCTTTGGCAAGTAGTGAGGTTAGAGTAATCTGTAGTTTGACAAGTCGAATAAGTTCTTTTGGTCAGGAAGGCGTATAGTTTCAAGAAAAATTCCATTGTTGCCTTGGTGTTTGACACGGATGTGACAATAACGTCGGCTTGGAATACGACTAGGCATAGCCAATCTAGACCCAGAATTTCAGTACCCAAGTTGCACTCAACCCCATGGATGTAGGCTTCACGGCGAACGACACAAAGCAAAGGTCCTTGACAAACCAGGAAACACAATGGCCAGCGGCAAATGATGGTTTGACGTCTGAATTTACATGGCACAAGCAAGTAGGATACGCCAGGTCTAGCCAGCATCGACATTAATTTGACGTCGGGCTTTTCTGCCGGCAAAACACTTCATCAAGACTTCAGTTCTGTCTGCATTGAGTTTTACGTAAGCACCCAAGCATAGACATCACAAGAATCAAACGGCTTCAGGACGACACAAGACAATGGTCACAACATGTTTGCTCGGAAAGACGCATATATTCATCTATGCGGACCGCGGTTGACGGGCCCTAGTCGTCGAGTTGTCTACCCATAACCCCTAATTCCCATGTCCGGAGGTTGAGTCCCTTAAATTTTTTTTTTCCCGCTCCCCAAGAGTCGGGCCGAAGAAAGCAAAATACAGATGCCATGGTCTGGGGAATCACTATTCACAAGCCAACGCCTTTTTTTTGTTGAAAAATCTCGCAGCCAGGCGCCCCCCCCCCCCCCCCCCCCCCCAAGCTTTTTGAGTTTCCAGCCCGTAACCGCCCCCAGCCGAGATTCCCTTCCCAGATGTGTCATGCAAGTCATGCTGTTGAGAACACACATTGCCAAATGTTATGGTGTACGCTCGTTGAAGTCATTAGTCGGAATGTTGAAGAAATCCAGTCGCTAAAAGATTGGATGATACAAAGAGGCCCGCTTTGCTTAGTAGCGGTAGATGTCGCTCTTGTAGGGACCCTCAACGGTGATGCTGAGGTAGTCGGCCTGGGTGTTGGTGAGCTCGGTGAGCTCAACGTTGACGTGGGACAGGTGGAGTCTGGCGACCTCCTCGTCAAGGACCTTGGGGAGGACGTAGACACCGACATCGAGCTTGCCAGCCTTGGCGAACTCGACGTATTTCTGGCCCCAGGCGGCGTCACCGGACTTGTACAGCATGATCTGGGCAAGAACCTGGTTGGTGAAGGAGCAGGACATGACGAAGGAGGAGTGGCCGGTGGCACAGCCAAGGTTGACCAGACGACCCTCGGCAAGGAGGATGATGTGGCGGCCGTTCTTCATCAGGAAGCGGTCGACCTGGGGCTTGATGTTCTGGACGCTCTGAGCGTTGGCCTTGAGCCAGGCGACGTCGATCTCGATGTCGAAGTGACCAATGTCTGGAGGAAGAGGGTTAGTGACTTGATATCAAGAGAAAGGGAGCTGTTTTAAAACGTACTGCAGACAATGGCATCGTTGGGCATGACGTCGAAGTGAGCGCCAGTCAGGATGTCACGGCAGCCAGTGGTGGTGACGAAGATCTGACCGCGGGGAGCGGCCTTCTCCATGGTGGTGACCTCGTAGCCGGCCATGGCGGCCTGGAGGGCGTTGATGGGGTCAATCTCGGTGACAATGACACGAGCACCCATGGTGTGCAGAGCCTGGGCGCAGCCCTTGCCGACATCACCGAAACCAGCGACGACGGCGATCTTGCCGGCAACCATGACATCGGTAGCGCGCTTGATTCCGTCAATGAGGGACTCGCGGCAGCCGTACAAGTTGTCGAACTTGGACTTGGTGACGGAGTCGTTGACGTTGATGGAGGGGACAAGGAGCTTGCCGTCCTTGAGCATCTTGTAGAGGTGGTGAACACCGGTGGTGGTCTCCTCAGAGACACCGAAGCAGCCCTTGAGCATCTCGGGGTACTTCTCGTGGACGAGGTGGGTCAGGTCACCACCGTCGTCGAGGATGAGGTTGAGCTTGTTGCCATCCTTGAAGGCGGACAGCTGCTGCTCCAAGCACCAGTTGTACTCCTCCTCCGTCTCACCCTTCCAGGCGAAGACGGGGACACCCGCGGCAGCAATGGCAGCGGCGGCGTGGTCCTGGGTGGAGAAGATGTTGCAGGAAGTCCAGGTGACCTCAGCACCGAGAGCAGTGAGGGTCTCGATGAGGACGGCGGTCTGGATGGTCATGTGCAAGCAACCGGCGATACGGGCACCCTTGAGGGGCTGGTCGGCAGCGTACTTGGTGCGAGTCTGCATAAGACCGGGCATCTCATTCTCGGCGAGCTCGATCTCCTTGCGGCCGAAGGCGGCAAGGGACAGGTCAGCGACCTTGAACTTGTTGGCGGGGGCAGCCATTGTGAAGTTTGTGGTGATGGTAAAAGGTGGTTTGGGGGGTGGGAGAGAGGAAGGGGGTATAGAAGAGGGAGAAGAGAAGAAGAAAGGATGAAGAAGGAGAGAAACAGGAGGAGAAGATTCAAAAGGTAGTTGGAGGGAGGGGGAGGGGAGGTAGAAGAAGTAAGAAAAAAGGCTTTTGGTGCTTGGAGGGGTTCAGACACGGACAGGGACGGCAGGAAGGCAGGGCGGTGTGTGAGTGCCTGAAGTGGAAGTGAGAGTGGGAGTGTGAGTGGGAGGGATGCGAGGGATGAGATGTCGGGAATCCAGACTGAGAAATTTCTGCTGCTGCTTGCTGCGTCTTCCCAAGGTACCTCGTTCTTGCCTTCTTGGTGTTGCTGTGTGTCGGCGAAGGGCGGCGTAAAGGTACGGTGATAAAATAAAATAAAAAGGTACTTATCTCTACATAGTAAGTTCAGACTGAGGTATCCGTAGGTGGCCAGTGGTGGGAAGGAGGGGTAAAGGTGACTGGGGGACGGAGACTTCCTGCCTCTGCAGCCCACCAGAAGCCTGAGGCGGGGCAAAAACTTCACCTCAACTCGGCAGGAATCAGGATGCTCCTCCCCTTCTCACTTCAGGCCGTGACTTCCAATTGACTGCAAGACTCGAAGTGTGGCAGGCGGGGTGGGGTTTTGCCAGTGTCTGGTCGTTGTCTGGGCACCTCGTCCACCTTTTACCCTTCACCTGTTCTCAACACAGCACTCTACTGGTCGCTTTTTCTTCAATGTACTGCTCAGTGTGCTGGTCATGGCTCCGCGAGACTTTCTGAGCTGATAGGATAGCAAAGGTACATGCTATCTGTCCACTCTCTCCATTATTACTGCTGTTCACAACCCAAGGTAAGGAAGGTACTGAGGTGGAATAAGGTAGTCACCAAGCACCGACATGCCCCTCGGCCGTTGATAGATCCGACACTGACTGACTGGGTACAATCATACACTCCTTGCTGTTGCTATCCCTCCTCCTAACTCGGGTCCAACAATGCAGCAGAAGTACATTCCCTCCGTCACACATCCGACAATCTGACTTTCTCAAGGGCCCCAGAACACTTCCACTTTGAGCTTCTCTCGGACCATTTCCATGCGGTGAAGGGAGGCAAAAGAGGAGGGGCAATGTACCTACATAGCTTGCCGTGCTACCGCACCTTAGCTAAGGTACTGATACGAATCAGATAGCTCGGCTTCCGTTCCCCGGTATTTTTCTGCCAGGCTTTTTTCTGACTTTTCCCGTTACTGGCCAGTGGCTGAGGTGTCAGTCATTGTTTGGCCCAAGACACCGACTCCTGTCTCATCCAAACGTCGTTCAATTGGCGTTTTGCATTTTCCCCTAACCCGTTCATGATTCAACACAGCACATCCAATAGCTAGAGAGTAGAGCTCCCATTTTTGATAAGCCACAAAGGGCGGCGCACATGGAAGGGAAAGGGAGGACTAGACCTAAAGGGAGCAAGCTCTGGATTGTGAGCTGTCCCAGCTTCGTCTTCTTGGCTCACCACCCAAAGTACCTCTGGTAACTCTGTTCAAGAAAGGCCCTTATTACGTTACCACTCGGAAACACAACTGGGAAAGCTCAGGGCACCCCGTAGGCCGGGACCGACCTGCTCGGAGGTAAGGTTAGGTCGGGTAATTTGGCAAGGAAAATCACCACAGTACAGTCAGTCAGTCAGTCGAATCAGTGGGAAAAGATACATTTGCCTTACTCAATCGGCATGAGGTGGGCGGCAAAGGTACATGCAGATCTGATAGGGAGTAAGTACCTACCCTGATGGAGAGGGGGAAAAAATGTGCCCCTCATTGCCTCTGTGCTTCTTCTACTCTGTATGCCAAATTTTTTTTTTTTTCCTTCCAAGGTTGCCAACAGCTTCCCGCGTGTGCCCGTCCCACGCCAGGTGTCGCCAGGCCAGGCGTGCCGCCGAGACTCGATCTGAGAGGTCGCCCTTTTTATTTTGTTTCCCCTTGTTTTACCGTTTTCTCGCGCTAGTCCCCTTTGAGCGTGAAACCCCTCGATTTACTGCCCCACCACCGGCCTCTCGGGGAACACAAACGCACCACGTTACTTCAGTTGCTCTGCTCAAGTACCAATGGAAAGGCGGGAAAGAGTGTACCGAGGCATCGACCTCTCCCTCCCCCGATTTCCCATGAACTGACTTTGGGCAATAATCCCCAACGGGACCGGACGAATCATGCAAGACAGGGCTGCCAGAGCCAAAGTTCAGTGTGCTCTGCAGTTGGTATTGTAGCATGGGTCAGGGACGATGGTTGGGACGAGGCATCTGAAGCCGACTTGTCCGGAGACATTTATGGGTACTTATATATTTACCGTTCAATGTGTTTGATTCTGGCCTTGTCTTAAAGCTATTTACGGACAGATTTTGCTCGGTAGAAGCCAGTCCATGACCACGTGCTACCGTCAAATGCCAATACCTTCTCTGATATTTTGACGTGGTATTCTCTACTCTTGTCCGGCCGGCCGTACCATCTTCGGGCAGGAAGAACGGGATAATAGCCCCAACCGCCGATATGCCATCTCCATACCTCGACAGCCTCGTCCCATCACGGCATGACCCCTTTACTCGCGAGGCTCCGTCAACGTCAGCCACGGACCGTGGCAGGCCCGAGACATGCCGCGGCCCAGGGAGAGAAAATCCGTCGCTTCTGGAATGCAAGAAAAGACATCGAATATCGACTCAGTACACACTGCCTGGGACTAATTACCGTAACGCCGTTTCGAATGCTTTGATCCGCTGCCCCAGATCATTCATCATTCCCAGAACAACCGTTCTACAAGGTAATTCCTCTCTCCTTTTTGTGTCTCCCCTCGCCTTGACTCTGCTCTCCTCTCCTCTCCTCTCCTCCCCCGTCGTCTCACGCCGGTCTTCCGTTTTGGTTCTTATTTATCCACATCCACGGAGCCGCGAAATAAGGACCCGAGCCTGCTTTAAGCGTCCATTTAAGCCCGCTTGGGCAGGAGGTTCTCCCTGACAGCAAACATCTTGGCGCTGATGTTGGCCGTGAATCCGTCCACCTGCTTGCTGTACTGCTCCACCTGCTTCGCGTTCAACATGCCCTCCAACCGGCTGGGCTCCTGGGGCAGCTTGAACAGCCTCTGCCACTCGTCCTCGGGCAGCGGCGCCTGCTTGGCCGCCGCGCGCGCCGCGTTCTCCGCCTTGCGCTTGGTCTGCCACTGCGTGATCTTGGCCTGCTCACGGCCGAGCTGGCGCTGGTAGAACTGGAAGTTGTTGAGGTCGGTGTAGTGGGACTCGATGCTCTCGAGCAGGAGGTCGCACGTCTTCTCGAGGAAGGGGTCTATCGAGAGGTCGAGGTTCTCAACCGAGGGGTGGAGCTGCTGCTTGAGGGGGTCGTCGCGGAGATCCGCCAGGGTGTTGGGCGACTCGATCTTGTCCTGCTCGGGGAGGCCGGGAAGCTGGTGCAGGAAAGAGGTCAGGAGGTGGGTGTTGTGAATCTCGACGGGGAGCTCGGCGAGAACGTCCTTGAAGGTGAGCTTGGAGGCTTTCAGGCTGTTGGTCTTGTCAGTTACCGCAGTCGGCCACTATAGTTCCACGACAATCTACACATACCTCTCGGTCGTGAACTTGCCCTCCTTGTATGCCGCCATGAATGACGGGGTGAGCTTGAAAGCGCGCAGGCTCAGGGAGCCCTGGGAGCTGCGGCTGACGTCGTGGACGAGGGCGACTGTCCGCTCGTTGTCCTTCTGGTAGTGGTACTGGTTCTCGATGAAGCTGAGGTTGACAAAGTTGCCCATAGCAGCGCTTGTGTACCAGCCGACGTTGTTAGCGTCGACGTTGACCTCCTTCAAGTGCTTGATCATGTCGTTCTGGTAGACAATGTTGGCCTTCTGGCGGGGAGCGGCGGCAGCGAGGGCCGAGGCATCGTTCTGGTGGCTGTTTTGGTGGCTGTCGGTGCTTGCGACGTCGACCGTGGGGAACTGGAAGGTGTTGGTGATCTCGAGGAGACCTTCGGTGTCCATGCCGACGATGGAACCGGTGGCGGTCGTGGGGAAGGTCGTGGAGCCATGCTTGACGATTTTCATCACCACCTAGAGGCACATCAAAGGTCAGCGACACACACACACACACATACATTTCCCTTACGATATCCCTCCCATCATGACCACACTGCAGTATGAAGCCCCAATGTGAGGAGAGGTGGGGCAGAATCCGGGCAGTACTCACAAGGGCCTCAACGCGGACCGCCGTGAGCGGCACCTCCTTGATAACGTCGCCCATATTTGCGATACGATCGGGGGGATTCGTGCAGGTTCAAAAATTCGTGGCCTGGTTGAGTCTGCGGCTGCGGGATCGTTGGTGTCGCGTTAACTTGGTGGTCGGATTCGAGAGGGGGGGGGAGGGGGGGGGCGGCGTCGTGTCGTTCGTGATGCGAAATATCGAACTTTTCGCTACAACGAATTGTGGGAGGGATTGTGGGCTGTCGGGCGGTGTCAGGCGGCAGGATTCACTGGAGAAAGGTCATATGATATGTCCACCCCTCTTGATCCGTTAAAATCACGCCCTCCGGACCGGCCGTCCACGGACCCACACCGCCGTCTTTCTTTCCCACGGTGATCCGTAACAGATTCCACACGCCACGTCCTGAATGGGAGGGCATCCCACTCATGCCCCCACGCCGAAAGCACTCAAGTCGAGTTTAAATTCAACGTCGTCTCATCTCGCCGTCCTGCGCTTCCCTCCTTCCATCTTCCTCTTCAAAACCCGGCCCATTCAACTCTCCTGCTCCTGAGCATCATTTTGCGATATCACTCGGGGGGTGTTATATGCCGATGTCGAGTTGTACATGTCGATAAAATGGATATGGTACATCACAGCCGTGGTTCAGCGCCTTTGGAAGTCCGAGCTCTCGCCTGCCTCGGAATTCGATCCCCTCGCCTTTCGCTCAAGTATCCAGGACGATTTCCAACATGGCCGTCACTGAGGAGGGAGTGTAGGATACGATGTGATGGATCTATGCGTTTGTCTATTACGCTGTCTATTGAAGGGAAGAGCCAATGGGGGGGGTGGGGGGGGTTTTTTTTTTTTGGCTGTATAATGCTAAAGTATTCAAGTGCGCCCATGTCATACCCCCTTATACCGCGTACCATGCGCTCTGTTCGTGGTGTCTCATTGCTCATTTACCAGCCCGATTGCGACATTTACCCAAATCACCAAACGCCGCAATAAGTCACTTTTGTTTTACCCGTCCAGCTTGAAGGAGGGTGCTCTCAATCAACCCAGTCGACAATTTCCCAGCTTTCGGCACCGTCACGAACGACCAGGCGGTGACGATCAATCTTCCAGAACGAGTACATGGACGCCGTCGCGCGACTTGCCCGGCGATGAGCAGGACCGTGGCCGGCTTTAACGGCATCTGGTCTCGACCGCCAGACGCAAGTTGCCAAGTTTCTTCCTTCTGAGTCGGGACTTCCGAACCAATATCTGCGGGGAGTCAGTCTCTTGTCTTCTTTGTCTCATTTTCTCGCTCTTTCTCACTTCAGGAAGCCTCCAAACTGGTTGGCTTCGGCATGCGCGGCCTTGTCCAAAACGCCAAGATCTTTATAAATCGTGGATGGCGGGATCGTCGAGCGAAATGCCACAATGTAAAAGGAAGTTTCCTTGAACGTTTTCCCAGTGGATTGAACGAGGCGCCTGAGCTCGCCCAGGACTTGTTCCCAGTTGAAGGATTCAACGTAGCCGGCCGTGGCGTAGTCCGCGCGGATGCACTCCATCTGAGACAATGCTCTGGCGAGGAGAGCATTCTCGTCGTCGAGAGTCGAGAGATCTAGCAAGTGCTCAGGATCTGTGTAGGGAGAGTGGACGAGGAACCTGTCTGTGTTGTTGATGTCGATCTCGTCAATGTTGATTGCTGCATTCTCCTTGATGTTTTGGGCGAGAGGGTCGACGCCCAATGGGGCCGTAGTCACAACGGCAGTCATGGTAATGATCTACAGCAGCGACTCTGTGGCTTCTGAAGAACCTGTGTGGCCTTGGGCTGTTGGTAAAGGAATTCGAGAGCGCACTTGAAGAATTTCAGTTCAAGATTGCCTGGAGTCGGTGTGGGCGAAGCAACGAGTTGTCTAAGTTGCAGACTCGAGTTCAGCGCAGGATGAAGCGAACTCTTCTGGGGAACTAAGGCAAAGGGATGGTGCTTTCAACGTGTGGGACAACAAAAGACAAACATCTGAAGAAAAAAAAAAACGAAAAGACGAAAATGAGCGTCGAGTATGAAATATAAGAATAGCACATCATCCAGAGTCAGAGACGTGTCGGTCAGGGGGCGTCGAGGAAACGTCTTTTCGACACGGGATTGCCTAACCCAAGCCAGGTGGGTCGGAGCGACTAACACCTTACACACCGTCGAGTCGACTCGGTGCGAGTCAAGTGCAGCTGACCAACCCGGTGTGCCGGTCAAAGAAGCGGTGTTCATCCCTCAACCATGCTCAGGGACCCCTTATTTTTGGGCTTTGCTGGGCCTTTGCATGGGACTTTGCATAGCAAATCTGCGACTCGGGGCGGGCTAGCTATGGATCATCTCAAAAAAAAAAGTAGAGAGAAAAAAGAATTTCCCGGGACGTTTGCATGCCACACATACATACTACTATGCAGTACGGAGTAGGGGGGGGGAAGCATGCAAGCATGGGACAGCCATGGTGCGGTTCGGTACGGTACCGATGGCGAAAGGAGCGACCAAAGTCGAGGGATTGCGCAATCGGATGTGGTTCTGATGCCAGAGACGTGTGTAATTTTGGATATGATGCGCAATGCGCCTCTTGGACTTTCTGTGTCTGGTTCAACTTCTAATTTCATTGGCACGACCATTTTGGAGAAAAACGTAAGGGAGTTAGTTACACGAAACTACGGGACACATTGAGTTACCTTTACTACTTGTCAAAGCAGAGCAGAAGCGCAACAAGAGCACCAAAGGAGGAAAAGCATGGAGCGAGTGTTGGGCATAGGATTTCGGGCCAGAAACCTCGGGGCTAACGACAAAGGATGGATCGTCCGTCCATATTGGTCTTGGAGAATGGATGGTCAAACCTACCTAATGGAAGGTATGTACATTTGGTGGTGGTGTTGCTTTAGAAGCCCAAACGACCGAGTTGGAGCAGCGAATTCCTCCGCATTCTTCTTCACTGACGCTACACAGGGGGCTTAAGACGGACCAAAAAAGTCTAGCCATAGGGCTAACAAAAAATGAAAAAAAAAAAAAAAAGGATGAGCTGGATGGTTTGGCAACTTTGGTCAAGTTATGGGAGAGGGGAAAGGAAACAGTAGAGTTTGTGGGGGCTCTCAAGGTGCATATCTGGTGTCTGCCTCTCTCTTTTTTGCCTTCATCTTTGCATTCTGACTTTTGCAGGCTGCCAGAGTTGTGCTCTATCACACCGAAACTATTGGCCGACAGCTTTTTTACATCGACAGGCCGGCGTACCCCGGCATCAACGATCAACGCACCGGCGGGCAAATATCCACCCCAACAATGCGGCAACTTGAGGTGAAGGTGGTGTCAATGTCCAGCCCGTGTTTCGGAGACGCTTCCTCACTCGCTTCCAATTTCTCAGTCTCTTTCGACCATCAACAGCAACCAGACGACCTCACACGATGTAACTTTCGGAACGGCCCCTCCATCTCATTTCATCACCGCCCCTTGATCCTGATAACGGAAACCCATTCCTATAGATACACGTATCAAGATAGATACGCTCACAGATACTGTACTGACAGCAAACCTTCCTCCAGCCGCCGTCACCGCCGGTTGTTATCTCTCGAAACAATGCACCCTGCTAATCTCACATATGCACGTTTTTTTATTTATTTTTTTATCTTCTGCTGCTTCTCTTCCCGCCCGTTCTACAGCCCTCCAACAACTTCCGATTCGTCCTTGCCCCGAGTGAGCCAGACCTTTGCCATTTCGTACGTGCCCAGGTAGAGACCGCTGCCGACGGCCGTCCACACGGCACGCAGCCCTCCACCGCGGAACAACCCGCGCACGCCGTGCTGTCGATACACGTCCCTCGTCACCTCCAAGCTGCCGCGCTTCGCCTTCGTCTTCGTCTTGGGGCTTGCTGATTCCCCTGCCTGTTGAAGCGAAGCACCGTAGCTCTTATCGCCGGCTTCTCCCGCACTCAGCATCATCCGCGTCTTGACGACATCGCTCGGCGTAGTGATGAACGCCGCAAACGCGCCCGCTGCGCCTGCGCTGGCCCCCGTGACTACGGCCGTCTCTACGAGGCCCTGCTCTTCGCCCTCTGCCCTCCCTTCCGACCTCGAGGTCCAGGCTGTGTTGCGCACATGCTCAAAGATGGGGAATTGAATCGCGGTGAAGGGGAGGTTGCGTGCCACGAGGGCCGTGTATCCGGACAAGAGACGCCTTCGCGCGCCGGAACTGGTGACTTGTCGCAGAGCCTCGAGTGAAGTTGATTGTCTGGCCGTATTGCTGCTGTTGTCTTGCTTCCGCAACATTTGCGCATTCTGTTTGATGACTTCTGCCGGTGCGAGGACTAGGCATGAGCCCATCTCTGCGATGGCCGAGGCCGAGGCATGGACAAACGGTTGAGGGAGTAAGGCCGTGTTGGAGATGGTCTGCTTCATGCTCTCGTACGTGGCGAAGAATATCCCGGCTGGTACGTTTTCGAGCTTATCAGTACCATTTATATCGTCTCTGGCCGTGATGTGTGATGGCCTGTGGGAGACTTCATGTGTGCTCACCTGCCGGTAATGTGGCTAGCACCACGCTCCCGATGCCTTGGTAGAGGCCCCGGAAGAGGGGCGCTTTGCTTCCCGATGTCGAGGCATATGTCTTGACAAAGTCTTGGCTTTGGTATCTGGTCTTGATGGTGTCTAGAGGGTAGACAAGACAGTCTACTGTGAATGCAGCCGCAGCACCGGCCTGAAGCTGTTAGTCGGGAGTAAGGGCTCGACCGCCCGAGGTAAGATGTACTCACAGCGTAGATCTCATACATGTTATAGAGTTATCGTACGTATTCATGACAGAAAACTTTGATGAGAATCTGTGCTCATGTCTTCGAGGGAAGCCTCCAATTTCGGCGGGTTTGGCGATGTCACTGGAGCTATGAATGACATCATCCTGGCTGGATTAGGATCAGTCCAGTAATTACTCTTGAGACTAATTGAGGTATCCCAAAAGTGGCATTTTATTTCACTGCCTTACCTTTTGGAGGTTCCGCCTCAATACTGATAACATAATGATATCGGAAAATGGAATATCAGATCTACTAAATTCTTCAGAATGTGCCTTTCAGCTTCTTCCACTGTATTCAGTCATACTGCATACTCACAACTAAGTGGCTGGACCTGTGGTGTGGCTGTGAGAATCTCAGTAGCACAAGGGTGGACCCCTGGAGCGATAAGATAAGGGACAGAAAGTGCCCCGCCCCCGCCATGCGCAGGTGTGTGCCGGGCCATGGATTGACTCTTACCAAAACTTTTTTCCTCCGCCTTCGTTTTTTCTCTCGCGCAAAACACGACCGCCGACCGCCAACAAGACGCATACTTCCATTTTCCAGCAAGCAAAGCATTCAAGATGGCGAGCGCTATTGAAGCCGAGGCCGAGGCGCCTCACAACATGTTTGACGTACGTCTACTCCCTTCGCCCTCGTCGAGTGCCCCCAATACGACCTCCAGGAACTTTGACTGTGTGGAACCCGCTGCCCACAACCATCGCGATCACCGACACGACCAGCCATTGCCTTGAAAAAGTGCTGGAATCCCCGAAATCGACCTCCCGAACCCTTCTAGCTGCGTATAGCTCTGCATTGAGTTGCCATTGCGAACCGATCTACCCAGCGATAGATAGCCTTGAGTCACGATTATTGCTGCATGGGCGGGTGTAATACAGCTCAAGGACATAGTGGGAGTCATTACCAGAGGAGTCGAAAAAGCAGGTGTCAAGCAAGTGCGCAGCACTTTTCCAACACGGAGTTCTTTCGCTAGAATGCGCGCCGAGCTTCGACACACGGCTCGCGCTTATCGAACCCTTCGACTCGAACTTACGATCCTCCCCACGGTCACAACATACGAGTCACCAGGCGCCAACGATGTCGATACAGTCAAAGTGATTGGGGGTTGCTAAAGCCATTCTCAACTCGAGTAACTGACAAAGTGCATTGCAGACCGTCCTCGTTCTCGACTTTGGTTCCCAGACCAGTCATCTCATTCTCCGTCGCCTGAGATCTCTCAAGGTCTACGCTGAGATGCTGCCTTGCACAACGAAGCTGGCGGATCTTCCTTTCAAGCCCAAGGGTATCGTGTTGTCTGGCGGTCCCTCGTCCGTCTACGACCAAGACTCTCCTCGTAAGGAAATTCTTTGAGAAAGTAGAGCAGAGCTCTTTCTGATACTGTAAAGACGTCGACCCCGCGATCTTTGACCTCGGCGTTCCCATTTTGGGTATCTGGTATGTCAGCCATTACCTACCTTTATTAGCGGAAATATGTACTCATTCATGTATGTAGCTACGGTTGCCAGGTAATTCCCGATTCGATCTTTTTTTTTTTTTTCCTACTTTCGATTGCACGAGGACGCTTCCTCCTCGTCTTACACCAAGATTCCGGCGGTACATCATATCGAGACGAATAGCTGGCTAACGATGTGCAGGAACTTGCCTGGAGAATCAACGCCAAGAACGTGGCTCGCGGAGAAGCCCGAGGTCAGTCACATTTGGGGGATCAAGTCGTATCAAAAGATAGTCCTTCTGACCCGTCCGATATACAGAGTACGGTCACGCCGATGTCACTATTCTCAACTCCGGCAACTCCCACACTGATCGCCTCTTCGCTGGTCTGGGAGAGACGATGCAAGGTACACTTCCAAATGATTCAGGAACTCCCGGATACTCTATGCTGACTTTCACCATAGCATACATGAGTCACTTTGACAAGGTACATCAACTTCAGTAGAGAGCATTCCGAAGTTTCGAAGCACACTTTCTTACATCAAAGCAGTTGGTGGCCCTTCCCGAGGGCTTCACCGTCGTTGCAAGCACTGCGAACTCTGAGTATGCCGGAATCGCTCACCAGACCAAGCCAATCTACGGTACGTTTTCTCGATCAAACTTCAACTTTTGTAGTTCTTCATACCCGCGCGTTATTTTTTTTATCGACTGTTACCGTCACTACACTGTGGAGCCTGACTGACTGAATACTCTGAATCCTACAGGCGTTCAATTCCACCCTGAGCTGGTTCGTCCCAATATTTTCTCCTGGTATTCTATAGGGATGTGACTAACTTTTCGCAGGAGCACGTAAGTTGAGTAATACTTCCAACAATCCTCTCACGGAGGCGTATTCCTCGCCGAGTGCGGGAAATCTGTCTCGGCGATCGGCAAGCCGCCCGTTGTGGGGCCGTTGATTATTATGGAGAATCGCCGGCTCAGACGCCGTCCGCATGGGTTTGATAGTACGAACGCATACTGACATGGCAACTTAGACACCTCGCGGTAGTGAGATCCTGAAGAACTTCGCCGTAGATATCAGCGGCGCCAGACCCAACTGGGTGATGGGAGACTTCATCCAGAAGGAGATTATCCGCATCAGACACCTTGTCGGCGACAAGGCACAGGTCATCGGCGCCGTCTCTGGAGGTGTCGATTCCACCGTCGCAGCCAAGCTGATGAAGGAAGCCATTGGTATGATTCATTGCCTTGGAATTGGAAAAAAAAAATTAGGAGGCTAATCGTCCATCAGGCGACCGCTTCCACGCTATCCTCGTCGACAACGGTAAGCAAGCCACCATCACACCCCGCAGAATACTTCGCTAAGTCCATTTTGACAGGCGTTATGCGTCTCAACGAGTGCGATCAGGTCAAGGAGACTCTCGAGAAGCACCTTGGCATCAACCTTACAGTTGCCGACGGAGCTGACCTGTTCCTTGGTCGCCTGAAGGGCGTCACTGAGCCTGAGAAGAAGCGCAAGATGTCAGTAAACTCGATTCCATGTATCGACCTTTCTAACACAATAGCAGCATCGGCGCTACCTTTATTGACCTGTTTGAGCAGGAGGCCCTGAGACTGGAGAAGGAGGCTGAGAACACCGAGAATGCCGGTCCCATCACTTGGTTCCTTCAGGGCACACTCTACCCCGATCTTATTGAGTCCCTTTCTTTCAAGGGACCCAGTGCGACTATCAAGTCTCACCACAACACTGGTGGACTTCCCGAGAAGATGAAGGTAAGAACTCTTCTGAAGCGGATGGACTACACCGCCACCGCTTGCCCGCTTCCTGTCTTCTGGTTGTTTACTCCAGCTAACTTTCTTACAGCTCAAACTCATCGAGCCCCTCAGAGAATTGGTTCGTTTCCCCAAATCCTCCTTCGTCCCCATCCTGTGATCAGTCACACTCGGATGACAGTAGGACACGTACCCAAAGCGGGGTTTGTGTCTATCTGGCCGACACGACTCTGCGTTACATTATCACTTGCAAAAAAAAAATTTTGCTCTCGTTTAGAGTATTCTCCATCTCCCATGCTGACTTCCACAAATAGTTCAAGGATGAGGTTAGAGAGTTCGGCAGACAATTGGGCATCCACCAGGATCTCGTCATGCGTCACCCATTCCCCGGCCCCGGTGTAAGTACCAGATCGCTAGCTGTACAACACGTAGCTACCTTCGTCTAACACCAGTCAGATTGCTATCCGCATTATTGGAGAGGTTACACCAGAGAGAGTCGCCATTGCCCGTGCTGCCGACAACATCTTCATTTCAATGATCAAGGAAGCCGGAATCTACAACGAGGTGAGTGTCAACTCTATGCTTTTCCCTGAACTGTTTCTGACCATTTTCAAGATGTCCCAAGCCTATGCTGCCGTGGATTCCAACAAGGGTATGTTACCGGACGTTACATTGTTCAAAATCTGTCATGCCGGCTAGTTCCCCCCCCCCCCCCACTGACGACTGATTTCTCTGTAGCTGTTGGAGTTCAAGGTGATGCCAGAGCAAGTTTCTCCCTTCTGATATGTGAACAGTGTAGATGACTAACTTTCTTAGGTTTACGGGTAAGCATTCGGAATAATGCATTTATCGATAGGTCATGTGCTAAACTGAAGTGCCTTCCAGCTACATTATCATGTAAGTTACCATAACTGAACCCCCTCTTGCTGACAATCCTTCCTGCCTGCCTGGCCATCTCTATCGATCAATAGGCTGACGTTTGATCTTAGTCTCCGCGCCGTCAAGACTCTGGACTTCATGTCCGCAGAGCCTTACGAGTTCGACTTCAACCTCCTTAAGAGGGTATGACTAGCTCTTACTTCTATCGCTACCATGTCTCGGTATCCCTGACACTGACTTTTTGCTCACCAGATCTCGACCCGTATCATCAACGAAGTTGACGGCGTCGCCCGCTGCACATACGACATCACGTCGAAGCCCCCCGGAACGATCGAAATGGGTTCGTAGCTTCAACCACTTACCTTATTTTGAAGGTACTTGTCAGGACCTCTATCGCTAACTACGAACAGAGTAAAAATTGGAAGCCTTGGATAGAACAAGTAGACCCAGAACTGCGAACTCACGTCTTTTTTTCGTCAAACATTTAGATCCCTTGGTGACATTCAATTGAGGCCCAACAATGGCATGGGTTGTCCGCAAGGACGTATCAGAATGTTCTCAGCCAAGCCACATTCGATGTGAGCTCTGTCATCGGTCTCTGTGTTTTTCCTCCTGCAACATCGGCGTTTAAGTTGCACCTCATCGTGCATTCTGACGGTTTCTACGTCTTCGATTTCTTCATTCGACCGCCACCAATGTGAAAGTCCGACGGCGTAGCGACCCCGGCAATGGCCAAAGCAGACACTGCCCTGCGTGCCTAAGCTAGTCGGCAGTCCGCGCATGTCGATCTCCCTAGTGTCGATCTCCCTAGTCTGCGAACCATCCCGCTAACAGCAACAGACGTAACACCACTTTAAATTCGCTGGCGCCCAACCCAAAATCACACTGATGATGGAAGACTTCCTCGGCTTCTTGTGAGAGCCAAGAACCTCGAGCATCTCTGCTGCACATCTACGACGTGACGAGTGTCATTCACACCTGGACGCCCTTCTTTCTAGTCTTGGCGATGTCGCACCGGTTCGGAAGCCTCCTCCAACGATGGATGCTGCACGTCAAACTGCACTGCCGCCGGTCATCGGCCGAAACGCTCAATAGCACCATCATACAGCGCCAGAGAGCACCGGACAGCACCAACAGAATACGGAAGGCAGACTTTCAAAGCCCGCCGACTGCGGATTTTGCCCTGCAAGAAAACCCGGGTCTGCTTGCTGTCAGGTTCGGTATTGCAGATCTTATCCGGGCGGGGCGGCCCATCTTCATGCTGTGCCACCGCCTTGACATCTCGAGTTTGGTTTCACGCAATTTGATGTCATGTCAGAGAAAGAGAGAACGACGACACACTTCTTTTTTTCGCGACCGAACGAGTTGATTCTGAAGCGGCTTCACTCTGTTCTAGAAAATCCACAATTCGCAACGTCGCACGAAACACGCCCCGTTTTTAGATTGTTGTTTTAACTTATTTGCCATGTTGTCTTCCAGAAGGCGCTGCTGAAAAGTTGAGGCGAGCGCCTCAGGGTCAGGGGGGGGAGATGGGGTTCAGGATTTGCCTCGTTTCTTTCTCCTGTCTTGGATCACGAGTCTCAGCCTCCTCGGCTCCAGCTGCGAAGAAGGGCGAATAAGTGAGGGTAGAAAGGCGTGGTCTCCACGCGATATTCACGTTCGATAGCTCGCCTTCGTCCACCTCGAGACCTTCTAGATCAGCGCCTCACTTTATTCCTTGTATTCTTGTGACCCCATATATCTCTATCGCCTCCTCGTGGCCTCCGGGACGAAATTCCTAACCGGCTTCCGAGCAGAGACACGCCACAGACTCGATAGAACATTCGAAAAGGGTTTCTGTTACATTTCGAAATCGTTAGTTTCAACGATGGAAGGCCAGGATTAGCCATCACGGGGGACAACTGGGCTGACTGTCCAGGCCCGGCTGAGGTCTCGAAGGAGGCCATTGCTTGAAGAATCTCATGCAATGGCGTTGGCGAGCCACGCGAGTTGCGTGCGCAAGATTCGGCCGCGGAGAAATTGGCAATACATTGTGCCGTATGACAAGACGTGACAGACGAGAAGAGAGAGAGAGAGAGAGAGAGGAAGAGAGAGAGAGAGAGAGAGAGAGAGACAGAGACACACACACTTGGCGGGTGAGGCCCAACGGTCTCGTGATGCATCCGCGCCTAACGCCGAATGGGAGACATTTCACGAACTGGTGGGTGTGAATCGCCTCACTCAGCACCGGCTGAGTAGTGGTCCGGAGGATACACTCCTTGCAGTTTGCCGACTTACGCCCAACTGCGACTCTGAAGTCCAAACGATTCGTAGAAGTCAGCTGCAGTCAGCCGTCAGATGTACCCATTAGCCAACTTTGTGTCATTTATTGCGTATATTGTCGCGGATCGTGATCCACAGATAATTACTCTGGAACGGTGCCGTGTAACTGGTCCTTGGGCCGAGTTTTTGTGAGAAAGAGAGTGAGGGAACAGAACAAACACAACACCAGACAGTCCCCTCATCGACGATTTGAAGCCGTTTGTTTGGGAAAAGGTGAACTTGAGGGGAAACGGCCGTGCATGTTGTAAGTGAGAAGTGAGAGATTCCCAAACTCAGCCTCCTCACCAACACCAACACTCGGCCAGCTAGTAACATCGGTCCCGAGGACCGCCCTCCATGTCAGATGGCATGGCAGCGCTAGGACGCTCTCATCGCCGTCATCCCCCACTTTCGTACAAAGTCCATGCCCGTTTACTGCTTGCTGCTCCCTCTTCGTGTGGGAAATCCCCATGCTTCGTAAACATTCGTACACGAGAGTGTTGACATTGCGGTGGCTTTCGGAACCACCATAACCAAGTTGCCCCTTTATTGGGGGGCTGAACAACATTTCTCGACCCCCTTGCCAATGGATTCAGCCATTCAGCAAGTGAGTTGCACCAGCCTGCCTGAGACAGCATGTACCACCCTCCTCACCACATAGTGGTTGTGATGTATTACTTCGAGCACGATGTTGACTGATGTGCAATCATCCCGTTGGAGGAAAAGGCGGCCCATGTGGCTGCTCAGAAGGAAGGGGAACCGGTGTGTCCAATATCAGACGGGGGTGATGCAAGCCAAAAACCTGGGAAGATGAGCGTCCACGGCAGGGCTCAGCTCTCTCTGACACTAAGTCGTCCTAACATTCAGAGTTTTGTTGTCTTAATTCCTTTGTTTTGCGTTTTATTTTTTCTTTCGAGTATTATAAAGTTGGAGGGTTCGTCCACTCTTTTTGTTTTTTGCTTTCTCGTCTGGAGATCATCACAATTACACTGGCCGCTTAAACTTAGTCATTCGCTCGGATGCCGATGCCACCATCACCAATTTTCACTCAAAGACTCCACTCTGACTCGCACTTGGAATAACACCGATCTACAGACGCACTAAGACTTACCTTATTCTCACTTGTATGCTTTAAGCCTCTTTGGGTCTGCACCCTTACAGTCTTGGGGAGAAACGAACAAGTATTCGACTGCCCACGGGTCGATATCCCTGTTTTACCAATCTCAACTTACACACATTTACTCACATACACAACACAATGGCGTGCCCATTCCTTCAAGGCACACTCGCCCAGCCGCCGCGGCCAATCTCAGCGGAACAAGAATTCGCCAACATCCGCTCACAATACCCTTCTCTCTCTTCAACGGGCTGCACGACAAAGTTTTGCCAGTCTGGTCGGATGACGCACATGGACGAGGAGCGCGTCGGCCGGAACCAGTCATACGCACAAGTCCGCGAGGATGCGCTCGACTTTCTCCAGCAAATGTACAAGGATGGACTCATTGACACGGAGCAACTTCACCACCGGGCACACGAGGTCCTTCAGGAGATTCAAAAGAATTCGACAGAGGGCAAGTTCACAACGGCGTCCGAATGCGGAGCGGAGGCGCCACCGGCAGCAACGGTTGGCTTGGTGGGTGGCCTGTGGACGCAGACTTTTGAGGAACTCGAGTTCGGTCTCCGGACGGCTTGGAAGCATGCTCGGAAATGCATTATGCGATCAGAGTATAGCAACTTGAGGTATGAGAAAAACTTCGAGTCTGATAAATGAGTTGTTTACTAATAGTCGTTGGCAGGCTGTGCGACCTGAGACATGTCCGAACAAGCAAAAAGATGGCCGAGACTCTCATTGAGAACTTGAGAGTGGCCTACAACTCGGGTGAAATCAACCCTACAGTCTTCGTCTTCCCTCCCAGAGACATTGACAGCCGCGGTCCCATGATCTGGAACTCACAACTCTTGTCCTTTGCAGGGGTAAGTCTTTCTCCCCATATGTGAGAAACAAGGATTGACTAACACACGAACAAAGTACCAACAATCAAACGGCACAATCCTCGGAGACCCCGCCAACGTCGAACTCACAAACGCCATTATCGAACTCGGCTGGACACCGCCGCGCTTCCGCTCACAATGGGATCTGCTTCCCCTCGTCACCATGGCCGAGGGAGAAGAACCCGTCATCACCGAGCTCCCAAAGGACGCATTCCCTCTGGTGCATATCCGCCATCCCAAGCACCCCGAGCTCGAGACCCTTGGCCTGCGTTGGGTTCCCGCGCCGGCACTCAGCCGCCTTGGCTTCAGCATCGGCGGCGTGCAATATACCGCGGCGCCCTTTATTGGATGGTGAGCTTGGCTTTTATGACTGCGAGAATTACAATCACTGACAACGCAAACGCAGGTTCATGGATGCCGAGATCGGTGTTCGCAATCTCGCAGATTCGTTCCGCTACAACGCGCTTCCGCAGGTCGCCAAAGCAATTGGCTTGGTCGATGGCGATGTAGATGACCTCCCAGACTACGAGCGTCTGGCGGTGTTGGTAAGCCTATCTTGCATGTTCATCGCATTGAGAATGCATCCGCTAACAGTAACATCACAGTCCCGCGCGCAGCTCGAGCTCAACTACGCCACATACTGGTCCTTCGCTCAGGCGGGCGTCAGAATGTCAGATTCCCTTGGCGCGGCCGAGCAATTCGCCCAGTTCGATGACGAGCATCTCATGAACAACGGCTTCCGCCTCCCTTCTGACCCGTACTGGCTGGCACCGCCCCAAGGGTCCATCATCCCCATCTGGCACCGCGGCGGCTCGCCAAACTACCAACCGAAGCCCTTGATCTGCCGCCACGGCCAAGATCCCATCAAGGCCTGGCGCCGGCAACGACTCACCCGCCCCGCGCGGCCTTCTCACCACTACTCCTCGGACACGAAGCTCAACATCTCCATCCCCGTGGTGCCGTCCATCTCCCTCACGAGGCCCGTCACGCCAGTCTCCCCCTTCGGCACCGTCTCCTCCCCGTCACACTTCCTCCCCATCCCTCCGCCTTCGCAGCAGCAGCAGCAGCAGCAGCAGCAGCAGCAGCAGGTCGTCAGGCCCACCACGCCCCTGACGCCGTTGAGCCCCCGGGGGCCCGGGCGCAGGATCTACATTGGCTTCTGCAGCTCGGGCAACGTCGCGATCAAGCTTTGCAAGAGGCTGTGCGCGCAGCTGCAGCACGCGTGCGACATCAACCCCAAGTTGGGGTCCGTCGTGGTGCCGTGCACGCTCAACGCCCTGCCCATCTCCATGGTCGAGCCCGATGATGTGCTGGTCATCGTCGCCAGCACGACGGGTCGCGGCGAGATTCCGCAGAACGGCAAGGCCTTCGCCGACGCGCTGGCGAGGAACCCCAAGGCCATCTCGTGCCAGTATGCCATCTTTGCGAATGGGTCGCTGGAGTACGCCGATACCTATAACCAGGCCGCCATGGATATTGAGGAGCTTCTGAGCAAAGGAGACGCCCAGAGACTCATTGGCATGCGCGAGGCCGACACCGCAACCGAAAACCCTCCCTGGTGCGTCCTCGGCCAGTTCTTCGATCAGGTTCTCGCGGTGCTCCAAAAGTCGAGCCCGCCACAAGACGAGATCAACACGAGTGACGTGCAGCGGACCGCTCGCCCGGTCAGACCTTTTGACACCCGTCCGTGGTTTCAGGCCAAAGTCGTCGGACAACCTGTCCTGGGCACCGCCGCGGACGGCATGAAGAGGGTCACCCTCGACCTGGGCGACCGCGAGTACCCCACCATGGGCAGCGTCTGGATTCTGCCGCCAAACTCCCAGAACAAGGTGTCTCGCGTCCTGGGCGCCCTCGGCGTGCAGGCTGACGAGCGGCTGAGTCTTCCCGGTGAGCCTACCGTGGGAGAATTCTTCCAGCGGTTTGCGGACTTGGACCAGCCTTTCAAGTCTACGCAGTGGGCTGAGTGGCTGTCTCTTCCCCAGCCGGAGACTCTGGCCAAGGTCCCTATTGAGAATGTGGTTCACCAGATTCCTGCCAACTGGAGGCAGATCGTGACGCTGGATGCGCTGTGCAATGCGATGCCGACGATTCAGCCGAGGGAATACTCCATTGCCTCTGATGGTTCGAGGACGAAGCAAAAGAACGGAAACACGATGGACCTGCTCGTCCAGCACCACCCCAACGGCAAGTTCTCGGACAAGTACCTCAACTGCTTCGAGACCTTTGGTGCCGCGACCTGCAAGATCCGTCCTTCGTCGCACCTGCAGACCATGGCCGAGAACGAAGACAAGCCGATGATCATCTTCACCACCGGCTCCGGCATGGCCCCCGTCCGCGGACTCCTCCAGAACCGTCTCCAGCATCTGCATTCATCGGACGACAAGTCCGCCAAGGGCCCCGCGATCAGCTTGTTTGCAGGCTTCAAGGCGGCAGATGAGTCTCTTGTGCGGGAAGCGGTGCAGGAAGCAAGCGAGGCCGGCATCCTCGACATATTGAGGCTGACGGGGAGTAACAAGGAGAGAAGGAGGGCGCAGGATGCGATGCTGGAAGCTGGCGTTCGAGAGAAGCTGGTCAAGAGCATCGAGGATGGTGCCCTTGTGTTTGCGTGCGCTAGGCCGAGGGCCGTCGATGATTTCTTGAAAAATTTGAGCGAGGTGTTGGGTCGGGATGCTAGGGAGGTGTTGGGCGATCGGTTTGTTGCTGATGTTTACCAGCCTGCTACTTGAGGGAGTTTCTTGGTCTTTTTTTTTTTCTTCCCTTTTCATATTTGCGTTTTCTTATATCATCGCTATCATCGCATGCGCATTATAGATTAGACGGTGGATTGGATTGATTCAAAAGCGAGGCGTTGGCGGATTTCATATTGTCTCAAGTTGAGAGCGATGGTGAAGATGCTTTGCAGAAGCAATTCATGAGAAGCAATATCAAATTTCAACTTACATGGTCGAAGAAAAAAAAACCCTTGCCTTCATATGCTACTGTACACGTGTACGGTTGACCCTTATATGCACTACTGGCCTTCCTGATTTCATTCTGAATGCAATAGTGATAAGTCTTCGGATGTCTCATCTCTACTCCGCGATGGAAACCAGACAATCTAGTCCGAAGCATCTTGCCCAATTGACGCTTTTGCTCCTATCTACGTCTTACTTCCTCTCAAAGTAACATTACTTATTCTTGTCGACTTTCATTACAGAGAAACGCGTTTGGTTTACAGCCTTCTGGCAGCTTCATTACTGTTGTACATCATAATCCTAACAACCATACAATGCCTGATATCGCTATCCTTCCAGAATCCATAACCAAGAAAAAGTCCAAATTCAAACTCCAAAATCCTCACCCTTTACCGAGGGTTCTCCGCCTCAGCAGAAGCCTGCACCACACTCTCAGGCGCAATGTTCCCCTCCGCCGAGATGCTATCCGGCACACTCTCAGGAACATAGTAATCCGACCCCTTAAACTTCTCCCCACCAACACCAGGCGCCTTCGCGCCCACATTATTCCTCACCGCGCCCTCCCCTTGCAGCAGGATATCATCCTTCTGATCCTGCGTGCCAAGCGAAGAAATCTTCCTGGCGGGAACGACATCGTCGTCGTTGTCGGCCGGGTTCTTGGGCGGCTGCTCGGGCTTGTAGGAGACGTTGTTGATCGGGTCGCCTTGTACGGTCACCGTGGCGCCGGGGAAGCGGTTCTCCGTCTGGATGTTGGAGACGCCGGCGTCGTCGTTGCCCTGGGGGCGGGCGGCGCCCGTCTTGGATTGGTATGTGTTCATGTCGAGCTGGGCCTGGGCGGCGGTCTCCATGAGCTGGTCCTTTGAGGGTGCCATTTTAGATGTTGTAGTAGTTGTAATGATGGTTTGAGTCGTGGGTTGGATGTTGGGTGTAAGTGGAATTGGTGATAACTTGCGTATAAGTTGTTTGAAGTCTGTTGGTTGATGGGTTTGCTTGATGTTGCAATGGTGAGAATGCTTTTGATAGTTCGGAAGCATCAACTTATGTAGTCCTTGTCGACTCTCATTCAACCTCGCCATCTGATGTCAACCCTGACGACGTCATCTTCATCATCTCACGCATCACTGTGCGATGAAATCACCACACCCGCCAAAATGTGGTGCTGGTGGGGACCGTTTTATCTCATCGACACAGATCGAACTGCCCAGATGCCACGCCGCCACCATATTATCGTCCAAACCTCCATAGACCCTCAATGCAGCCATGCTTGAGATGGAAAATTGACAGCTTTGACGCACAAGTGATATCAGTGCCCCCCAAAAGCTTTGCTGTGTGATCGGCGGCACACACAAAATGGTTCTCGATGAGCAGCCGGTCGCGGGATATCCATTTGTTCGGACATTTTGCTCCGATAAGCATTGAGGCCCAGTGCCCCCGCCTGTCTAGAATTCCTTTGGAAGCTCACATCCAGCACACATCTCTTTGTTCACATCACATTGACCATTTTGAACTCTTCTCTCAAGTGAAGAACTAGGTATCATTTGACTCTGCGTTATAGCCCTGATTCCCAACTAAGGGTGGCCTATGTTTCTTTTTTTCAATCAAAACCAGCACAGCGTGCTGTCACCATGACTTCGATGCACGCTGCGATGGTGGGAACATGTGAGTGCTCAACTGCATCCTGCAAATCCCATCCTAGGCTTGAAAATCTTGAACCACAAAATCCCTCCGATTCATCAACGCCGTGTTGCCAATGCGCATGGCTCGGCCCCTGGCTCATAACAGCCTAAAACTAACCGTCGGTGCCGCTGCTGCGGAAAGTGGCGCAAAGCGCAGCGTAATGATGGGTCAGATCAAGGACGTTCTGTGGGAGGCTGGTGGCTTGGATGATGCTTCTGATCTTGACTGCACCCTCATCCTCGATGAGCGTCCGGACTGTGTGGAGAAGCTCTGGTGAGAACTCCGAGTACCATCTGTACTGCCAGGTAACGAGACGAATGACTGATGCGACCGTCTCGCGAGTGTTTTTGCCTTCCTCAAAAACGCGGAGGATGCCAGTCAAGGCCTTGGGGCTGAACCTTGCGGCGAGGCATGCTCTATAGGCCTCCACAGCTTCTTCTGGGTGCTGGAGTCTCTCTGCCAGAGAGCCTAGAATTTCCCACTCTTCAGCCGACTTCTTATACTGCATGGACTGCGCGCGATACTGGGCCATCTGCGTGCGCCAGATTGTATAGACACGCAGATCCTCATACAACACCATAAAGAGGCTATCAAGCCAGCGCTCGCAAAGCCGCTTATTGTTCAGCTTAGATAGATGGTCGTCGGTCTGCGCACCCTGTCCAGTGTTAACATGACTTCAGTATAAGGAAAGGCTGAAGACTTACGGGTTCTGCGTCGCCCTTCAGTTCACCAGGGTCGATCGCGTGAGTAGGCTTCTCTACAGCCTCACCCTCTGTCTGTCCATTTGGTGCCAACGTCTCGGCGGTGGAATCGGCATCTGTCGGCTTCGCCTTCTTCTCCTCATCTCCATCCTCGTCGTCACTCTCCGAGTCCGATCGATCGCCATTGGTCGTCGGGTCTGGGGTTCCACGAAGGCCGTCGGTGCTGGGGTTACGTTGAGGCTGCGAGGTTTCCTGCTTCTCGGAGCGGTATTCGTCCTCCATGACAAACACAGTGCTTCTGATCTTGAGTAGCTGATCCCATCCAATCTTGGAAGTCATCTCGGTCAGGATGCCGTAAGCCTGCTTGAAGGTTCCCTTATAAACCGAAGCACGGAGGTTCAGGAGACTAGCATCGACCTGCTCAGAGTATCTAGACTCGGGTTCGCTGTCGATCTCGTCCAAGCGGGTCTCTGGAAGAGTTGGGAGGTGAACATCCTTCGGTTCGGGCATCTGAGGCGCGTCCTTATCCTGGTACGTAAACATGGGACAGGAGTTGAGAATGGTCAGGGCATTCTCCCAGTCCTCCATTGCCACGTAGACTTGCGCCAGTCTCGCCCATGTGCCGAATTCACTAGGAGCAGCAATGGTACTGCGGTCGGCACAGCCCAGGGCCAAGCGAAGCCTCTCTTCCTTCAATTCTGGCGTTGCGGCGGTCTGCGCCTTTCTGAGAAGGAACTCAGCCTGCGTGTCGAGCATGACGTAGTCCATCGGTGACTCTTTCAGTGCCTGGTGCAGCACCTTGACACCTTGGACTTCCTCGTTGCCCATGAACAGGACCTTGGCCAAAAGGGAGGAAACCTCGATGTTCTGGTCTCTGAGTTTCTCGAAAAGGTTGATGCCGGAAGCATGGCGTCCGGTGGTCTGGAAATACTTCAAGAGGCCTGCGGTCAAATGGTTTGAGACATTGTTCGGCACTTGAACGACAGAGTCTGAACCCAGCTGCCAGCCTGCGATACCGTTAGCTCGGAAATTCTAGCGTGCTCTTGAGAGTGTATGCATACCTCGGAAGAAGAGCTGCTCGGCGGCACCAAGGAAGCGGTGTTCGGTCTCGGTGTTGGTAACAGGGTTGTATCTGCGCACACCCATAATCTTCCGAATCGTCTCTCCGCTACCGTCATCGGCGTAGGAGTAGGCTCGGAGGACGCTGCAGAGGTAGGTCTCCAACCACAAGTCATCCGTCGCCTTACGCTTCTCGCCTCGTTCGTCTACGCAGTAGCTTTCTACGGTTCCGGGGATTGTTACATGGACTCGCATGTCGAGTCGGGAGAAGGCATTGTAACAGCTAGCAGTAGATTAGCTACTTATACTCAAGCTCAATATAGAAGAAGTCCACATACCAGTAGAGACCTTCCGAGATTTTTGTTTGCACAGCCTGGCCATGCTCGCGGTAGGTCAGGGTGTTGATGTAGGCAGCAAGACTTGCCGAGGAGGAAGCGTCGACACCGGTGACGTGGTGGTAGACTCCGATCTACGATAGGATGCTAATTAGCACAGGTATAGGTTGGTCGGATATGAGTGATCATGTACCTGCTTGCCAGGGTTTCTCGTGGCCTGCTTCAGGAGATGGACGAGGTCGGGAGGGCCAAGCTCGCGAAGGGAGATGAGGGACTCGGTTCGGGCTTCAATTGATTCGGAGAGAATCTCCTCGGTAAGCCTGGCAAACGGGTTAGAATTAGAAGCAGTGGAGGGATGGAAGGAGGATGGTAGACTTACTCGGGCACAGCCGGCGCAACCATTGCAGCGGTTGTTGCGTGTCAAGCTTTGACGGCGCGCAATGTGGAAGCGATGTTCTCGATGAGGATGGACTGGATACGGTGTTATGAGCTAGCGATTCGATGCATGTGTGCGCGCAGGAGAAGGCGCTTATGAGCGATTCTGGCCCGCACGCTCGGGAGGATGGCTGGGAGTAGAGGGATGGATGTGTTGGTGATCGGAAGCGGTTCGAGGTGTGGTCGGTGAGATTGAGGAAGGATGGAGGATTGAAGGGCCCAGCTTGTGCAAGGTGGAATTGGAGGTGGGATTGCGGCGTGCGGCGTGAACTGGACACTCTGGGAAGGAAGCACGGGAGGTAAGGTAAGGTAGGTAGGTAGTGACGGCAGGCGCTGCGGGCAAGCTTGGACTCCACGACTTTCTGTATTCGTACCTACCTGATGTACCTGATGTATGCCAGGAGTCCAGGACTAGGAACCTGCTGCCAGCTTGGAACACCTCAATATTGATTGACGTTGTGCAAGTGACAAGGAGTTGAGGTCTGTCATTGGCAGGGGACAGACGGGATGGAGAGCAGATGGAGCTGCTTTGCTGGAGGTGATTGACAGGGCCAGCCGCCAAAGAGCCACGATTTAATTAGACCACGGGCGCCTTTCCAAGCCAAGTTCCATTCGACGGCCGGCGGGACTCAAACGTGGCCGGGGCCTGGACCGGGTGGGTCCAACGCATCTGTAGGGTAGTTTGTCGCATTGCCATGTTCCTGAGGTGCCAGCTTGTGTCGAGTTGTATCCTTACGTAAGACACCTCGCTAGAATCGCTGCACGGACACTCGACCTAACCCCCTGGGCCTTGGGTCTCATTATCCTGTACCGAAACAGATACAGAGGACTAACAACCTACAGACTAAGGTCCAGAGTACCTTGAGGTATCGATATCAGCCTATCAGGGAGTCTGCAGCTGGATGCCGGGAGCTGGCCCTGGGCAACCTAGAGTCTGGCGCGAAAGCTGCAAGTGCCCTGTGAACCAGGAATCCATAGCTGTACCTGGACAGGTCTGGAGCAATGCGATACGTACCGACAGCTCCAAGCAACCAATTTAACGTTCCTGAATTCTGGTCGCGTCGGTCCTCGCAGCCACGCGCATCGATTTTCCCCAAGGTCGCTATGGCTGCGCATTCGCCCTGAACCACATCATTTTGAACATCCATCCACTCCTTCACATCCCACGTCATTATATAAAGTAGAGCGTGGTTTCAATCAACCTGGTCGCGAGACCCTGCCGACAACATGGTTCGTCTATCAAATGTCATTCACGATTCGCCCTTGCGACCAAAGCTAATATCAGCACCCAGCCGGCCTTCCAAGCCATCAACGTCGAAGCCGAGGAGAACTCCGATGATGAGGTCGACACCACCCGCGAGCTTCATGTACGCGCCCAATGAGTCGCTTCGATATGCCGACCAATACTAATTTACTTCTCAGGTCGACGAGGCCCTCAAACGCTTCCAAAATGCCTTGAAGCTGCATGCTCAAGGCCCTCGATTCTTCGACGAAGCCTCTGACGCCTACGACGATCTCTTCAAGTCCGAAATCTTCAAATATCCCGAGGCCTCCACCGAGTACGACAGAGCAGAAAGGCAACCAGATCAGTTATTAGCCGATTCCGCTCTCGCCGGCAGCCTAGACCTCCAATCCACCGATGTTGATACCACCGGCAGCAGTCTTCCCCAGGCTTTCTTCCTCGCATACAAGAATCGCGGTCAATTTCTCCTTGATCGCACCCGCCATGCAGCCCGAACCTCCGGAGACGATGCGTTTTCTTACTTCGAGAAAGATGATGCCCTCCAAAACATGCATAGCGCTCTGGTCGACTTCAGTGCCGCCCTTGACCGCGATCCGTCCGATGCCGAGTTGTGGCGCCGCACGGCTCGTGTTGCTGCTTCTTTGAAGAGTTCAAGGATCAACAGATACTGCCTTGAATCTGCTATCGAACTCGACGATGATCCCGCCGTTCTCGAGGTTGAGCCACCATCTTTGGCAGAGGGATTCGCCGGACAACAACTCAAGGACCAGCTGCAAGCCCTGTCGGACGAGGTCGCCTTGTCTCACCCCATCATGGGCCCTTGGGTAAAGAGAGACATGCCCGACTTCATCAAACGACACATCGACCCAATCCCGTATTTGCCGAATCCGATCAAAGAGACTGGGTCCGCTCGCACCAATGTCGAGGAAGTGGGCGTCACCCGTCTCACTGTAGCGGTCCCGACTGCATCATGGGCTGATTTGGGTATGGCACTTGTGCAGTTCATACTCGAAAAGGGTCAGACCAGCCGCGGCATCGTCATTGAGCTTCCTGAAACGGATGACGACGAGGACGTTGTCATGGAAAGTCAACCGGAGCAGGATGCTCAACCCAACGGTTCGCACGGCAAAGATAAGGATGAGAACTCAGTACAGGAGGACAAGCAGGAAACTACGGAAAAGACAGAGAGTGTTGAGCCCGTTCCGAAGGAAACCCCCAAACCTGCTGAGAGCACTCGCAAGGGTCGAAGCGCCTCCCAGCCCTCTCGAAAGCGATCACATTCAGCAGCTGGCATTCCCGAGGGCCAAGAGGAGGAGAGCCTCGTCGAAAAAAGGAGCAAGCGGATTAGGAGGCGAGAGACTGCAGCCGCGGAAGAGGTTCCGGACCCAAGCGCCGTCCTTGCGTCCCAGCTGGCCCCTTACCAAGCCACCGACCAAAACTTGTTCCAGGCCACCAAGAACATGCTGGAAAACATTGGAGTCACGAACCAGGACACTCTAGACCGGATCAGCGAGGTGTTGGATTCGCTTGCTGCAGAGGAACGGGGCGCTTCCATCAAGAATCAAGCAACCATGGATCTCCGCAATGCGATCGTATCTTTCAGTGAGGAGAATGCGAAGATCTTGCTCAACAAACAGGCACAGGCGTCTCTGAGCCTATCATCTTTTCTCGAACATGCCAAGGGGGGGTCTCAAAAGATGTCAATCATACCACCCTTCAAGGACACGCAGGGCATCACTGCTTTTGTAAAGCGAGTGAACTCTTCCTGGATGACCGCCCAAGATGTTGCGTACGAATGGATCAAGACGATATGTCCCAGCTACCTCCAAACAAAATGGTCAGATGCCTTGAAGACAGCTGTCGTCCAGGTCATTAGTAGATTCGACCAGGATATCCTTCAAGCCATCAATTACGACCTCGACCGCGCGAGACGATCAGATGACGCAAACAAGGAATTTGGTTTTGTCAAAAATATCGTCGAGATGCTCTTCGAGATCCATCTTGACGTGTATGAGAGAATTACCAACCCTAATAGTGTCGTTGACTACAGCATCCGCGTTGAAGCCAGAGGTCGCTTGGGTCGGTGGCTAGACATGGCTTCAGCTCTTCTACGGGATGCTGCAGAAGAAGGCAACAAAAATCTGACTGGCCGCTTTCTCTGGGCTGCCATCTTTTCGACGACTCTTACGGAGAACGCGTCGAGAGAGTACATCCTGCAATGCTGGACGAGTTTGCGAGATTTCCTTGCAGAAAGTGAGATCGATCAACTATTCCTTCCGAATAATCCGGTGATACCCGAGATTTCAGAGGCGGCGGCCGATAGAGAGATTTCTAAACTGACCACTATGGACTTCTTCCTCGGCCTCTTCCAGGATAATGTTAGCGACCCAGTCGCCGTCATTGATAACCTCGAGCCCGTTTTGAATCCAGGGTCTGTTTATGTTACCCTGCCGTCCGAAGATTCGGCAACAGAGAGAGAGGAATCGTCTAGCCGCTCCAAGACGAGGAAAGTGCCCATCAAGGAGTGTGCAAGTCAGAGCCTCCAGGATCTTTGGAGGTTTCTGCTGGGAACTAGCACAGAACTGCGTCTTTTCCTCTGGACACGGCTTAGCGACGCGTACGCCAGTATCAAGTATTCGACGAAACAGTTCTCATGCCAGCTCAAAGCTATTGAGATGCTCACGGCAGACTTGGAAAGCGACAGTTATCTCAAGAACGCCCCAGAAACGAGACCGCCGTTGGTGTTGAAGATGCTCAAATCGCTAGATGATCTTCTGATCACTGCACTTTCTTTGGCTCTGAATGACAGCTCAGCTTACGACATCGTCGACGAAGACCATCTGAAGTCAACATCAGCTGCTCTCATCAAATTGAGCTGCATGCTGCATGTATCAGCGATGCACGAGGACGAGATTCGCATCGGAATGACACGTGTGCCGCCGAGTAGTCCCTCATTCCAGCCGTTCCTCAACAAGCTCCGTGAGATTCAAGTTCGTGTATGGTGCCTCCAGTACACGGTCGTCAAGGTCGGCGTGAACCAAACCGGAACAATATTCCCTAACCCTGAAATGGAGTTGGCAGACTTCTTGTCCGCGATTCACCAGGTAATCGGGCTTAGGAAATGTTGTAAGGCCTCAAACAAGATCTTCTTGAAGATGATGCGCGTGGAGTTGCTCAAGTTTAAGAAGATTGAAAATTGGGAAGACTATCTTGGGCAGGTGCTTTACGACCTCCACGGTCTCAAACTTGGTGTTGGGGCTGGAGAGGTTCAGGACCATGGCTGTCCCCCGGAGAAGCTCGAAAAACGCAACGCCATGCAGCTTGTGGACAAGATTACGGTACTGGCAAGGAGAATGCCCCGAAAGGATCTCCTCAAGTCGGACCTCAAGACGACCATCGAGCACATGCAAGGTGCTATTGGGCAAACAAAGTCGACGCCTCAGATGATTCACAACCTGAGGAACTTTGCCGAGTATCTGAAGCGGCCGATCCACCCCCTTCGGCTCTATCAAGCCATTACCGGCGGTGTTCAGTTGGATGTCGTTGCTGTAAACACTCCCGAAAGCGCCTTAGCCAGGCATGGCTGGTTCTTCCTCCTAGGCATGATCGCCCTGACGAGGTTTAAGCAGGTGGATTTGAGCAAGCGGCAAACGCCTGGTGCTACTGACGACTTGCGACTCGCGGCCACTTTCTTGCGGCTCCAACTTCAGTTCACCCCAGATAAATGGGATGCCTGGTTTCGCCTAGCCGAGTGCTTCGACTACGAACTCGATGAAGCTGTTTTGTGGTCAGCCGACAAAATGAACAAGGAACGCGGCGAGTTGCTCAAGTTCCAACGGAATTCGATCCACTGTTACACGCTTGCGTTGTCCAACTCTTGGGAGGCAGAAATCGATGATGAGGATGAAGATCCCCTCTACGGGCTTTACCATAACTTTGCGATGCGCCTGTACGCATCCAGCCGCGAGCCTCTCGCTATGGAACCCTTCCAACATGCAGACCAAGAGAGATTCTTCATCGAGAGCGAGGGAAACGGAACCTTCCAGAGGGTCCTCCACGACCAGATGCAGGACTACAAGGTCTGGAAATACGCAGCTGGCTTGTTCAAACGGGCCATGAGGCGTAAACCAATGGACTGGAGGTAAGTTGACCTTTACAATTGCGCCGAGCATTGACTAATTTTATACAGGAACCCGTACATGTTTACAAAATGTCTTTGGAAAATGTACCAAAAGCCCATCGATCAGCTTAGCCAAAAGGACCGGGAGACCCGCCCATCGGTTGAGTACTTGATTTCAGCCCTCGAGCACGCCGTCGAGGTTGTTTCGGCGGTGCCCAAATCGCGGCATAGCGATCCCATTCTGGAGCCGCACTACAAGATTGTCTCGATAGTGTACAAACTGGTCGTTCGAGGCGAGTTGAAGCCACAAGAAGGCGCAGACATTTTGTCGAGGCAACCATTTGGCATGGAACTCGGAGACGATATCACTCTCGACGATAACGAAGATTGGGAGGAATACGTGATCCGAAATCTGCATCACCTACGGGATAAGGACAAGTCTAATTGGCAGCACCGTATCATCATGCGTCATGCCCGACTACTTTTCGATGAGGATGGCGAATCGCCCGAGCTTGTGCAAGCCAAGGCAGCCTTCAACGTCCTTAGAGAATCCATGTTTACCAAGACAATGGTAATGAATGTCTGGAAGTGCGATGCGGAGCGTTCTGGACGACACCACGTGTATACGTCCCAGTACATTCGTTTCATGGTGAAGATTCTGGTGGTCATGAACGACAGAGTGAACTTGGAAATGGTCCTCCGGCGTCTTCGGAAGAAGGGCGCCGACTTTTACCACTTTGGCGACTTGTGGCAGATGTGCTCTATGGCTTACCTCAGGCTGCTGCGGCAGGGCTTCCAAATTGCTCCCACCTTGGAAGACGCTTTCAAGTCGACTTCGATGGAAGAGCTGGAAATTATGGCAGATCGGATTACAGAGTGGGCTGGAGGTCCAGCAACGGACATTCCTGCCTTCAACTGCCTGAAGGAGACGATCGAGTTGAAGAAGCTCAACGGCGGTCTCATGAAGGCTGGGGCGATTGACGACCTTATCAACGACTGTTACGCCATCATTTACCAGGAGATTGGTCCTTCGCTGCCCGGCCCTGAACCCCACGAAGTTCTCGAGGCGCGCGCAAGGGCTCGTGCCAGGGAAGAAGCCGATGGAGGCATCGAGCTCAAGCCATCTACTTCCTTGGGCAATCTACTAAACCCACCATCAGCGCAGGACTCGGGGGCCAATGGTGAAGGTGACAAGACGGCATCAGCACTCGAGGCAGCCCCGAGGCGCAGGGCGGGCGTTCGCCGGCCTGACATCATTCGCAAGGCGGAACAGGCGTTTGCCCGGTACGGTGAAGCGCCGAAGCCATCAGTTGCTCCCTCCAAGTCTCGTGTGGGTTCGGTTTCGAGCGGCAGAAACGGAACGCATACTCCCGCTGGAGACGCTGGGGAGGGCAGTGACACCGAGGAGCTCAACGAAGGAGACACAGTCGAAGAGGGCGAGGATACGGAGATGAAGGACGACACTGCCATGGACGTCGATGAAGGGGACGAGACGCGGGCACGAGCCACGGCAGCATCTAGTCCGCGGGGTAGCATTTACGATTCCGCAGATGACGAGAGTGAACTTAGCGATGTTCCGGACGACTGGGACGAGCAGCCGCCTCCTTCGCTCATGTTTCCTAATCTCAGGAAGAGCGTGGATTCCGGTCGGGCCGAAGAGACGAATAATTCTAGTGACGGGGATGACGAAGAGGGAGAAGAAGGTGAAGAAGAAGAGGGGGAGGAGGAGGAGGAAGAGGAAGAAGAGGGTGGCGGCGAAGAGGCTGAGGAAGGTGAGGAGGAGGGTGATGAAGGTGATGAGGTTGAGGAGGGTGAGGAGGGCGAGGAGGGTGATGAAGGTGAGGAGGGTGAGGAGGGTGAGGAGGGTGATGAAGGTGAAGAGGGTGATGAAGGGGAGGAGGCTGATGAAGGGGAGGAGGCTGATGAAGGGGAGGAGGGCGAGGAAGGTGAAGAGGGTGAAGAAGGTGATGGTGAGGAAACGGAAGAAGCTGAAGAAGCTGACGAGGACGAAGAGGCTGAAGATGGAGAGGAAGCTGAGGAGGGCGAAGGTGATGGTGAGGAGGAAGAGGAAGAAGAAGAGGGAGAGGAAGACGAAGACGAGGATGCGTAGAACTCTCGACAGTCTTCAGAGACCTTGACGGCCTTGGGGTTCTAGTTTCTTGGTGGGACGGCGTTGTTTGGCATGGTGTTTCCTCTCTGACCACGGATAATGGCGCGCCGACTGGGCTGTGTCAAAATTGTGAGTGTTTTGCAGTCAGAGGTTATATAGTAGCAAGTGTGGTTCATATGAGGCACAGTCATAGGCGTATAGGACATTTATATAAAATAGATGCTCACAGTTGATTTTGAACAGGCTCGGCATCCTCCTCTCATAGTCCCAACAACACTTTGAGATTCTCTTGCGTATTCAACATCAAACTTACCGCAAGCTCTACGACACAACAAGCTTGCAACCATGTGCACGATTTGGAAAGTAAAGAAGGAAGACTGTCGCCACACGGTCGAGCGCGAAACGGAGCTGTGTGCGCGTGGCAGGACTCGCGGCCGGTGTGTGTGGAGGTTGAGGCGTGAGACGCGGTGGGAGATGGGATATTGCGATGAGTGCTTGGGGGATGTTGAGAGGCGGAATTATTATGGATATGCTTGAATGTCATGGGTTTTGGCATGTTTGGCTATGGCAATTCACTCCGTGGCGAAGAATGGTAGAGTGTCAGCCCTTGATTTACTACCTACAAGCCATGGAATTTGATTTTGTCTATTGATATTTTCCTGGTTTCTGCTTCTTGTTTTCTACTGAATAGGTGCTTGCTTCATTTTCAGGTAAAAACATTGGAAGGCCAAACAGCTGCTTGCCCAAGCTACGAGTGCAGTCAACATACACACCAGTTTCTCATGGGTCTGCCCGTCGTTCTCACATGCCCAATATTTTAACACTGTTTTGAATTTTTTCGATTGTACTCAATGAAGTAGGCGAATTTTCGATAAATCTCCAAGCTCCAGGGAGAAGAACGAAATGGAGTCGTCAGATACGAAGCTTTTCCTCACCGAGCTCAACCTCAATAGACCTCGGTGTGTAGTGGGGAGAAGTTGCTATGGGGGTGCACCTCAATCCCAGCACACCTGAGCTAATCCAAGCTAATCCCACACCCCACCTCCGACGCCAGGGCCAGCATTACGCCTTCCCAGTGCCGCCTGCTCTCACCTGGGCTTGCCGCTGCACCGCACCCAGCACCAGCCGCAGCCGGCAACTTCCGCCCATCGACAACCTTCCACCACCGACCGTCCGCCCGCGTTTACCTCCATTCGCCTGCAAGCAAGCTAGCTCCTCCCCAACATCACCAATCCGCAACATCCAACACCACAAACTCCACCACAACACCAATCAGCGACACCGCGAACCCACGAAACCCTCTACACCCCGACTCAATCACACCCTTCCCATAGTCGACGACAATCGCAATCCCGCAAAGAGCAGTCAGCAGTCCTCGCAGACAACTCACTCATTCCCACCACAACCTCCACCACAAGACCACATTCCCGCACAAAAATGGCCTCCTCGGACGCAAAGCCCCAGGACAAGACCGCCTCCGCCGCGGACCCCAAGGCCGACGAGACGACGCAGCAGCAGGCGGCGGCCAAGAAGCCCGCGCTCGGCGAGGACGACGAGTTTGAGGATTTCCCTGTTGATGGTACGTTCTCCGTCTCTCCACCCTCTCTGTCGATAGTCTCCTTCCCATGGCGTCTGAATGCATCTACTGCTTCGACTTTAAGCTGGGCATGATGATACCCTTGTCTTGCTGTTCACCACTACTCAAAGGCCATGTTGGAAGAGGGTCATCATCACAAACCAGCCACAGACGCCACACCACTCTTCTTCCTTTGCCAAAAGACAGAATGCTAACTATGACTGGCGACAGACTGGCCCCAGGAAGAGACCGAGGCGGCTGCGGGCGACAGTGGCTCGACGCAGCACCTGTGGGAGGAGAGCTGGGACGACGATGACACGAGCGACGACTTTTCGGCGCAGTTGAAGTATGATAACCACCCCCCCGACCCTCCAAGGTCCCGAAACCATACCAGCCAGAGATGCTAACAATACTGCAGGGAGGAGTTGAAGAAGGTCGAGGCATCCAAGAGGCGATGAGTAATCCATGGTGTGCGTGGTACGATGACGGGAGGCGGAATGACGCATGGGTGACTGGGTGGGAATCACGGCATAGACTACACACTACGTAACGGGCTCTATACGACTGGCGACATACCAGGAATGAAATCACAACAGGGCACGCGAGGTTTTCAATCCACCTTTGGGACGAAATTTGTCTCTACTTTTACTGTTTATTTGATATCGTGACGTTTAATGATCCTAGGACATGAAACGAGGGCATTACGTTCATCATGAGCGCCCCCCTTTTTCCGGCATGTGCTTCTGCGTTCGTTGCATCCCCCATGCGCATTTCTTTCATCCCGAGTCCTAAAGACTGGCCTTGCCAGCCCGGCCTTTTCCCATCTATCAGACCGATCGAGTCCATGGAGGCTTCATCCTCCACTGTACGAGGAATGATTTACTTACTCGACAGAGCAGTGACACCGGGCAATTCCTTGCCCTCGAGGAGCTCCAAGCTGGCACCACCGCCGGTGGAGACGTGGCTGAGCTTGCTCTCGACACCGTACTTGGCGGCAACGGTGGCCGTGTCACCACCACCGATGATGACAATCTTGCCGCCCTCGGCAGCGGCGACGGCGGCATCGAGCGTCGACTTGGTACCGGTGGCAAAGTTGTCAAACTCAAAGACACCAGCGGGGCCGTTCCAGAGGATGGTCTTGGACTCGTCAATGGCCTGCTTGTAGAGCTCAATAGACTTGGGGCCGCAGTCGAGACCCATCCAGCCGTCGGGGATGCCGGACTCGTCAGTGGCAGAGCCGACCTTGGCGTCCTTGTCGAACTTGTCGGCGGTGACGTAGTCGACGGGGAGGACGAGCTTGACGTTGTTGGCCTTGGCCTTCTCGACGAGCTTGCCGACGGTCTTGGAGCCGGACTCGTCAAAGAGGGAGTCACCGATGCTGACGTTTTCGAGAGTCTTCTTGAAGGTGAAGGCCATGCCACCGCAGACGATGAGGGTGTTGACCTTGTCCAGCAGGTTGTCGATGAGCTGGATCTTGTCAGAGACCTTGGCGCCACCGAGGATGGCGAGGAAGGGACGCTGGGGGTTCTCGAGGGCCTTGGCGAAGTACTCGAGCTCCTTCTTCATGAGGAAACCGGAGGCCTTCTGGGGCAGGTCGACACCGACCATGGAGGAGTGGGCGCGGTGAGCAGTGCCAAAGGCGTCGTCTGGTTATCGAGTTAGCTTACGGCACTAGATATGATTGTCAATGGCAGATAAGAGTAAGGAAACATACTGATGAAGACATCACCGAGGGCGGTGAGGCCCTTGCGGAACTCCTCAACCTTGGCCTTGTCAGCCTTGGTCTTGTTGCCCTCCTTGTCCTTGGCGGAACCCTCCTCCTCAATGTGGAAGCGCAGGTTCTCGAGAAGGACGACCTGGCCGTCGGTGGCCTTGTTGACGAGGTCCTCAACGTCCTTGCCGACGCAGTTGTTGGCGAACTGGACGTTCTTGCCGAGCAGCTTCTCGAGCTCGGGGACGACGGGCTGCAGGCTGTACTTGGGGTTCTCCTGTCCGTTGGGACGGCCCAAGTGGGACATCAGGACGACCGCCTTGGCGCCATTGTCGATGGCGTACTTGATGGTGGGGACGGCACCGGCGATACGCTGGTTGTTGGTGATCTTCTTGTCGGCGTCGAGGGGGACGTTGAAGTCGACCTAAGTGAGGGGTTAGCTAGGGGTGTTCAGTAGTCCCGGCTCAGTGGGCAGTGGCTCTTGAAAGCGTGCCTAACGGTCCCGGTGTATTCCAATGCCGTCAAGGGAAGCATGTGGAGGGTGGCCGAGTCGAATACCCGCGGCTCGTCCCGTATCGCCAGAATACGGAACGGGTGTGAGGTGATACCCGGGTTCAGGCGCGGGTGGCATGGTGGCATGGTGGCATGGTGGGGTAATCTGAGCAGCAGCAGCAGCAGCAGCAGCAGCAACAACAACAGCACCACCAACACCAGAACCGTCCCCAGCAACGCTCAACGCCAGGGCATGTACATGGTAAGAGTGGTATGACTTACGCGGATGAGGACGCGCTTGCCCTTGAGGTCGACGTCGGTGATGGAGAGCTTGTTGGCGAGAGACATGATTGCGGTTGTGAGGTGCGCAAATGTGTGAGGATGAAGGGTAGAAGTTGAAGGTTGAAGAGAAGAAGAAGAGGAGGGGAGGGAAGACGTTGAGGAAGTAAAAAGGTCTGAGGTATATTTAGCTAGCTACCAGGCTACCTACCTTGCCCACCTCACCTCACCTAGCTGAGGTACCTACCTTAAGGTGGGATGGATGGAGTGAGGGAGGGACACCGCGCCGGACACTTCTAAGGACGGCGCGGGCAGGGGGTAAAACATGCAGTAATCAGTCAATTCGAGTGGTTCAACTCGCCCGGACACCTCACGTTGGGAATGGAAGCTTGCAATGGTGGGGTGCTACTGCTACTGCCAGTGACCTGGACACTACCGACAGAGCCAGCAGGATAAGGTAAAAGGAGGGGCATTTTCGCTCGGCGGTTTTTTGCATGACTTTTTTTTTTCCTTCTGTTGGCGGGGTTGATTTTCGGCCCTGCTGTTGCAAGCCTGCAGGTCTGGTAGATTGAGCGTATCAGTGGGGGTGAGCTTTGCTTACCTACCTACCTTAGGTGCCCTGTTCATTGCTTTCCCACTAAATCGGCCAGCTGCGACAACGGGGGTGCTGAGATGCGGTGCTTGCGGCCTGCCCCGCCATGGGTGTGTGACGTGATGGTAGTCTGATACCTCACAGAAACTGCACTGCGCTTTTGCTTGCTCCTCAACCAACCAACCCCCCCCCCCCCCCCCCCCCCCGGTCACGGCCGTCCGCCCGGAATCAACGGACCGCAGCCAAACATCGCCGACACGGCAGACGAGGCAAGACAAAACACGAGGATAGGACCTGCAGCATCTGGGCTACCTCTTGCTTCCGTTTCACCCGCTATTATTGGTGTATATCAATCCTGTTCCAAGGGCTGTGCTTAAAAACCTGCTCTAGCATTTCCCAGCTACATCCCCCCTTAAGCCAAGGTGACCGGGGTTTGCTCTCAGTGACAAGCTTCAAATATGGCCGAGAGATACGCCGGTCCAAAATCGGAGCTATTACAACATTCTCAGACCACACTTCATCCAAAGCATCAGATATCATGAACGAACCATCTTGTTCAATTCCGTTGTGTTTTACAACTGCTTACTACAAAAGAGAGACGATAAAAAGAGGGCCGTCCCAAGTCCATTATTCGGATCCAAAACACCAGACGCCTGTATCCGTTGAAGCAGCCCATGCCGTGCATGCCGTCGCTGTCTTTTCTTGATACTGATCGAACAAAATCCTAAGCTCAGCTATGCTTGATTGGTATAACCCTGCTCGTTTGTCCGCAATGGTTGTCGACCAGACCTGTCCCATGCCGACCTGCAGACTGAAATTATGAGGAAAATCAAGGGTAGCTATCGAAATTAGCTGAGGCGAATGTGGTCGTCCTCGCGGGCTCCGGGGCGGTTATCGACCTCGTTGGACGAGTTGGTGAGGGAGAGGTAGGCGGTCCAGGCAATACCGATCGTGGAGACGAAGGGCTATAAAGTGTTAGCATGTGCTGCCAATATCCACCGTTCGATCGCTTGAACTTACCAGTTGGAACTGCATCGGCATCAGGCGGAAGTTGACAACCTGCACGGCAGGCCAGACAATGAAATTGGCCTTGAGCGTGGGGATGTACATGTCGCGCAACTTGCTCATGACGCCACGGCGTCCACCACCCTCAGCGACGGTCATGACGGAGAAGAAGCACAGCAGACCAAAGGGCGCGAAGATGAGCTGGTCAAAGGCGACTCTCTGCATGGCGGGGATGAAGGCGCTGGTCTTGGTGATGGGGAAGGTGGCCGACAGGAACTTGAACCAGCGGAACTGGAGGGGTGCCATGCCGAAACCGTAGGCCATAAAGCGGGTCAGGCGCTCGAAGTCGAATGGAGGAGGGAGGTTGCTGTGGTCGGGAATGAGGTCCTTCTCATAGAAGGGGTTCTTGCTGTCGAGGTCATGGATCTCGATAGCGATGCCATCGTGCTTGTCGACGCCACCAGGCTTACGGACAGCCTTCAGACGGAGAGCGGTGACTGTTTGTGCGGTCGTGTCGGCGATGCCACCGAGGATGGCGTTGGTCACCATCATGGTGAGGACTATTGGGAGGACGCAGTCAGTATGGGTGATGTATCACAGTGTGGCGAACTCTAGAGTTGGGAGTCTTGGAGGCACGTACGTGGCCGTTCATCGTAGTATTGGTTGAACTTTGACACCAACCGGGCGACGAGCGCCATTTCGATGAGGATGATGACTGCGTGAAGCAGTGGCTAAAGGTAGATCGTAGGTCAGCGCAAAGTTGATTCAATCAAGTGCGGCGCAATAGGCGTAGATGGAAATGATGCAGCGACAGGAGACAGCGCAGGGAGTACGAATGTGGCGGACGGGAAAGCGAGACAAGCAAGCAAGGATTCAGATTCGATCGTGCGAGGAATGTTCTAGGAGCAACACGAAAAAGGAACGAATGGAGCAGGTGCGACAATGCTATGGAAGGGGTTGGCATACGAGGCGTCCGTAAATGTATTTGCTGTTGACAGCTCGGATAATGCGACGGCGAGATAGTTCCCACGACATGGTGACGGATTACGAGGGGAGGCGCCCGGGGTGGGAATGAGTTTCTAAAAGAAGGAAATGATAAAGAATGATATGAGAGAAGAGTGGCGGCGACCGGACGGCGGTGGTTCGGTTTGGTTCGGTTATGTTGGTTTGTGCTTTTGGCTTCGGGTTGGGAGAGCCGGATCGATAAGGTGCGCCGCTATCGATTCGTCTATTGCCTCAAAAGTGAGGTAACGATTTGGCAAGCAAATCGATGTGAGACGGGAGGGATGCAGAAAAAGATATGGTCGAGGGTGACGGGGACCCTTGGTGTGCTTTCTGCAGGCGGTGGCTTCAAAAGGCTGGGTACGGGGAGTGACGAGTGACGAATGACGACACCGTAGCGAGAGAAAAGGGTACTGATGTGCTTCGCTGTGGCGCACGGGAGGCGGATGATTGGCCGGTATCGCTGATTTGGTGATTTGGTGATTTGGAGGAGGAGGAGGAGGAGGAGGAGGAGGAGGAGGCGACGGAGGTTTTGTTCCCGCTGGTCTGACAGAAAAGCAGTGACAGCAAGTAGCAAGTTAGCAGCAATGCAAATGAAGAAGAAAAAAAAGATCTTCACACTTGGCAAAGGCGATGTAGGACGGATGCGACGGGGGGATATAATATAATAGGAGAGGGAGGAAGAGATGGGAGGGACAGGATCTAAAAAGAAATGGAGCAAGTCCAAACGCAGGTAATGAAGCGCCCTGCAACCGAGAAAGATTGATCCTGGTATCTATTTGCCTTGCTTGACTGCAGGCAGTAAGAAAAGGGCGGTAATAAGACAAGACGATGGAATGGTACTGCAGGTTTGCTGCTTTGCGTGCTTCAAACTTAGCAATGGAACTTTAAAAGATACAACCGACAAGTATCTTCCTGTCCGTCCACGAAAGGAAGGTGAGGCATCAGGCAGTCACGGCAGTCACTGCTACCTTATCCGTACAGAGAGAGCTCTTTCCTCCTCATTCTCAAATCCATCGGCGGATATTCGGACCAAGCCACAGCTTTATCGGGATTAACACTGTGTCGCTGGCGCCTCCCGTTCCACTGGACCATTTCCCCACAGATCACCATCAGGCAGGCCGCAGAACCGCCCAGCTAAAATTGGATACTCAGTCTTGACCATTTGACCACAATTTTTGATAGAAACACGGGCAGCAAAGACACTGCGGATGGACGGCGGACCTCGAGAGCTCCCCGACGGCCCCCGACCTTACTGAAGCCGCCATCCTCCGTGCGACGCACAGTGCATACGCCAACCTGCGCCACCCACCACCTCCTTCGCGCATCCTCCTCGGGACCTCAGGTTCTCTCACCGGTCAGTGTCCATCCAAGGTCACTCACCACCACCTCACCTCACTCCCTCACTCACACCGACCCTCACTCCTCATACCAAGAGTGTTGTATATTCGTCCAAAGACAACCTCATGTGCGAGGCACCTTATTCAGACGGGACAACACACACACACACACACACACACACACACACACACGCATCCACAAACTTCGTCCGTTTCTTCAAACCGACTGACACCCTTTAGCCCCGTCCCTGCACAGAAACCCCAAACACGACTCTCGCTCTCCCGATCAATGCTCCCGTTTCATACACGCGTACAATCGTGGGGAAACCGCTGCTTCCCACTCCCATCGCATGGCTGGTGACGTACGGGGGTGAAGCTTCTTTTCTCACCACTATTTCTGACTTACCACACAATACTTTGCCGCTCAACACGATGTACCTTGGCTCTACAGATATTTCTACTATTCTTGCTGCGACTACTTTTATTATTACTACTTCTTCTATCTGATATATTCAACATAGAATAGGCACTCTAAGAAAACTATGGGATAGAGATAATAAGAAGACTAATAATGTTACCATTGCTAATAGCAGTAGTAGGAATAAGAGATAGAGCCAGCGTATGCCCATTTTGTCACCCACTTGCTTCTCAAGCTTTTCATTCCAGACTCCCCGTAGAACGGACCGGCTGATGGACAAGTCACATCCTTCTCAACAATCTCATGTGTCCAAAGCCTATGTGACTTTGACGCCCTCCCGCCTCGCGCCCAATAGCAACAGAGTTACGGAACGGCGCTGCGGTGAAAGTATGAGCTTGTTAAACATAGGGGTCCTGCCCGGCAGGATGAACCCTGGCCGTCCTACCTGATTGCGGCAGCACCACTTTGTTTTAATCTGTCACATTTTGTTTCCCAACGCCTCCCTCCTGCTTAATCTCTCGAGATGGCCGTAGTAAAGGATGAAAAGTATGAAGAGATGAAGACACCCATCCGACTGAGTCGGGGCATTCACGTTGTCAATGCTACCTACTGTCTGCGAGCTGTCGGCCGTCGGCAACGTCAACACCATCGCAACACACTTCCCGGACAGATACCCCCCTTTTCCGCAACCTGATGCAGCTCGCTTCTCGGGAGCCGGGTCATTGCTGTGTAGTTGAATATGAAGAAAAGGGGCTCGCAACTGGTGGATGCGGTGAATGATTGAGGAGCATGAATGGCATTATCCACGGAGCCCACTTTGGCCTTTTGCTGTAGGTATTTCAGTCAAAAGTCACATCAGATCACAAGTCACCAAGAACAGTAAGTACATAGACTGGCCAATAAGCCGAGAGCGAGAGACTTCGGATCATCAAGTACACAAGACAACAGCTTCAAGTCGCTTCTTCCCTACCAGCAACTTACGACGTTGCTCAACATCTCAACAGAGGGAAGACAACAGACAAGTCAAGTGAGGATTGAGACCGCCAAACTCAAATTGTATTCCGTAACCTTTGGGTATTTTTAGATTATCATTAGCATCGAAACTATTCTGACTCAAGCAGCAGTGATATCCCCTTGCCGCTTGCGACCACTGCTCTCGTGCCATTGCTCGAGGGCAAGCTATCCAAAGTCCAGACCGCAACTCTCCAACCTAGACCTTGTGCCACGCACTGGCCTACTTCTCCAAGTAGACGTTGACAGACGAGCGCGAGTACCCAAACGTCTTGGGCCACTGGCTGTAATCCGGCTCAAACAAGACGGCGTCGTTGCAGTCACTTCCCAAGCTCGTGTTGTTCAACCACGCTGTCAGCAGTTAGCAACCTCGTCCACAGTCAACTAGGGAGGAAAAAAGGAGGTCATGCTCACCAGGCTCCCAGTACCAAACACCCTGTCCAAGACCCTTGGGCGTCTCCCTCACAGTCTTGAGCAGCTTCTTCATCCACTGCACCTGTCCATCAACATTATACGGGATACTCGGCTCCGAGCTCTCCGGAATCGGGTTCCACTGCCCGTTGCAAATCGCAGGGTAATCCGTCTCCACAACCTGCATCGGCTTGCCGTACTTCTCACCCAACACCTTGAGCGTGTTCTTCAGGTTCGCAAACGTCGCCGACGTGCCGTAGAAGGGGTAGAAACTGAACCCGAAGCTATCCCACGCCGACACCGGAACCCCGTTATCGACGAGCGCGCCGTACCACCGCTCCTGCAGCGTCAGGTTCCAGCCGTTGTCGAGGTGGATCATGATCTCGGGCTTGGGCACGCCCGCGCACGTCGCGTCTTTCACGCCCGCCCGCGCAGCCTTGTACAGCGTCGCAAAGTTGGTAAAGTTCTTCACCAGCGCAGACCACGGCTGCACGTCGACGGAAACCTGACCCAGAGGCCACAAGGTACCGTGGCGAAGCTCGTTGCCCAACGAGACGATATCCAGCGTCACACCGGCATTCTTGAAAGCAACAAGCGTCTCGCGGACGTAGTTGCGCAGCGTACCAGCCAGAGGCTCCAGCTGCGTAGGCCACGCCGCGGGCAGCGGCTGCTTCTGCGGGTCGGCCCAGCTATCCGCAAAGTGGAAGTCCAAGAAGATGCGCTGCCCCTTGGCCTGGAAGCGCTTGGCGAGGTCGATGGTGTAGTTTAGGCCGTAGGTGCCGTCGGGCGGGTTCACCCACAGGCGGAGGCGGACTGCGTTCATGCCGCCGTCGGCGAGGATGTCGTCGGCGGGACGCGTCGCGTTGCCGCGCGCCGTGTCGATGTAGATGTTTTGGTTCTCCTCGAGCATCTTGAGGGAGCTCAGGTCGTGGCCTTTGTAGAAAAAAGGCTTGCCGTGGCCGGGGCCGGGGCTGTTGGAGTCATGTTATCTTTCCGTTGTCGTTCTTCGAGTACCTCAAGGTAGGTACAAGGTACGTTCCCTCATGAGATGTAAGTGGTGAGAACGTACTTGACAGGCTCCGGGGCCGGAACAGCCGTGGCCAGAGCCGTGAGGCCGAGGAGAGAGAACAACTTCATGATGGAGATGATATCACAGCGATTGAGACACACAAAGAGTCAATCCTCCAAACTTCCCTCTCGACGACGAGAATGCCCAGTATATATATATATATATATATATATATCAGTCAGAAGAACCCCCTCACCGCCCACCGGGCTAGGCATCAAGTCCAACCATGATTTTACCACTTCTGGCAAGGGTTCAAAATAAACGCAAGCGAGCTGTCAGTCGTCACGGGTCTCGGCAATCTCTGTTTTTTTTTTTTTCTTTTTTCTTTCTTTCTCTTCTCGGGCCAATGTGACCATTCGACGGAAGATTTTCCAATGGACATACACACTCAAGACGGCAAGCAAAGCAGCAGCTGACAGAATGGAGAGGGCCCGAACTGCGGGGACTCATCGCGGGGTTACCGGGGGAGACCCCAGACTCGGCACGCTGACGATTGGTGCGCCTGCGCGACCTGGAGGTGGTGGGCCCCTGCTCGCCCGCAATTTTCGGATATTGCGCCTCCAACGAGTTACAATACCAACAATAGCTTCGTTGGTCTGCGTTGGTCTGGTTGGGGGTGCCAAGTTCCAGCAGTCTCGGCCTCGACGTAGGTGTCATCAGGTGACGGGGGCGGGGATGAAGCTTCGAGAAAAAACATATTGAAATTTGGAGACCCAGCCAACGTGCCAGCCTCCTCCCCCAGACCCCAGGTCTCGAACCAATCCTTTCAGTCTTTCACGGCCCTCTCGGAACTCTCAACCGAGGTTTATCATTTCGATCTCCGGATATTGGTATAGCCATGATTATTACGTTCCATTTGTGGTTAAGCTTAACCATCGGCTAGGACGCGGGTCCAGTCGAACTTCCTCCATTTCTTGTTGAAAGCCTCGACTCTCCGGTCGCCCTTGTTCCACCGTCCCTGTTTCTTGATCACGTCCGGCCCGACGTCCAGGATGCCCCCGATTATCTCCCTTGCAAACAGGTCCCCTCTCGGCCAGCGGTCAGAGTTCTCGACAATGTGCCCGAGGCCGCCGTCGAGCGTAAACCAGACGTGGAAATAAGGCATCTCCTTTGCGATGCTCCTCCGGAACGCCATCCTGCCCATGCCATCTCGCGCCTTGGCGGCCGTGTCAATGATTTTCCGGTGCTGCGACCACTCGTCTTCGGTGGTGAGGAAGGCCTCTTTAAAGTAGGCCGGAGCCGTGGCGCCCTCTTCGTACGGAATCGGCACGGCCATCATGGCCGCGTGAAGATGCCTCTGCGGCGTGGCCGCGTTCTCGTAGAAAATGACTTCTTGGCCCTTTTCATGGTACATTCTCGTCAGAGACTTCATAAAGTTTCGAATCTCTTCCCACTCGTCGTCGTCACACTCCAATAGGTTCTTGCGGTGCGCCATGGGTGTTATGACAGCGCCGCCTTCGCTGACCTCAGGTTCCGTAGGCAGCGTCAGGAAAACGCGCGTGGCAAGAGAGATGACCGGTGCCAGAGGAGGCTGTCCTTTGTCCTCGTGATGGCATAAGGGGCAATTGTCCAATATCCGCGACACCTTCTGATACTCGTTGACAGCCACATTCTTGAGGTTGACCTCGGACTTGTGAACTCGCTTGGCAAGCTTGTCCGCATTCTCGTCCATGTAATCGAGATTGTCGTCAAACTTGCCGTCCTTGGCAATGCGCTCGGCGAGCCGCATGCCTTCGCCGCCAGCTTGACCGCGCGTCCTGCGCTCCTCGCGGACCATGTCTTCGATGGACATTTCGTCGTTGGCCTCCACGTTCCCGCGCTCCCGCCCACGCTTGTTGTCGATGGCCTTGACCTCTGCACGAGTGCCTGCCAGCATTCGGTTATCCATGACACCAAGGACAACAGACTGCGGCCCATTCGTGGCAAAGTTCGCTGCGGCCTGGTTGTACTCGGTTTCCAACTTGGCAGCATCCGGTGCTCTGCGGAGCTTGGCCTTCATCATCTGAGCTCGCAGCCGGTTCAAGGCGGTCTGGTCCATGGGGGTATGCTGCATGGCATTATCGGGGATGATAACGCCTTGTTCCACATCGTGGGTATCATCTTGTGCTGCGGGTGCCTCCTTTTGTTGATGTTTCTCCACGCGCTCGCGATATAGGTCTCCCGTAGGCTTCTCCTTGCCTACGTAACCACTTCCATACGCCTTCCGCCTGTCCATTTCGATCTTTTCTTCTCTCGCGTCGTCGAATTCTTGCAAATCGCCAAATCTCTCAAGTGCAACATCTTCAACCGAACGGCCTGATTCTTCAGCCATAGAGTAGACACCCTTGAGTTTCGTCAGGCGCCACTGAGAGCCGTTGTCTCCAAATGTGTAGTTGACTGTCCGCTCTTTTGTCGCAAGCTGCTCATCCGAGGTCGGAACATTGTCTACTTCAGCAAAGTCTCTGTTGATCTCCCTGTCGTGGATAACTCTCGGCGGCTCTTCCTTTGGTGGTGGCTTAACCTCCTTCTGTTTCCGCTGGACGTAGTCAATGTCGAGGGCCGACGGTGCAGTCATCCAAGAATCGCGCATCAGCGGTGCCTCGGCATCCTTGGAGTTCTGTGGTGTTTCTTCGTCCGGAATCGGCAAGTCCTCTTTTGGATCTGATGTTTTCTCGTGGGTATCCGTCCGCCGTTCGTCGTCTCTTTCTCTGTGCCTGTGCCTCGATCGCCGCTCCTCATCGTCCTTTTCATGACGAGAACGTTTATGTCTGTGACCATCCTCGCCGTCTTCTTCATGACGGCGAGATCTGTGATGGCGGTGGCTGTCGTGATCTCGGTCGCGGTCGCGGTCGCCATCTCGACTGCGGTGTGATTCCCGATCGCGTTCTCGATGTCTGTCAGAAGATCGATCGCGATGATGGTGATGGTGACTGCGCTGCTTCTTCCTCTGTCGCCGTTCTTCTTTTTCGCGCTCGATGCGGTCCTTCTCGCCCTTCTCTGCTGCGAGAGCCTTTTCGAATTCGTCGAGGCCGTCCATTATTGCTGTGGCTAGAGGTGGGAAGCTCGGATTGCTAGTTGACGATGGAGCTATGATCTGCAATGGCCTGTTTTTCTGCAGGTTCCCAGAACGAATTGGCGACGCCGGCGGAACGTCACTTTCCCAGCACGGACCACCAAGATTTTGGAAATGACAGGGGGGTGTTAGATTCGTCGTTACAACTTACAGGGGGGGGTCTCGTCCATTCCGCCGCCCCGCGCGGGGCACTCAGCTCTTCCAACTCTTCCAGAACTTTTTTCTCAGCGATCGTCCTCCCGTAACAGTTGAAGAGCCGCACGCAGATTCCCGTCACCACATCAGAATGGCTTCAACATCCGCAGAAACCCCCGCTGAGAATGCGGCCACTCAAACCCCGACTGCCATCGTCGTCGTCGGCATGGCCGGTAAGCAATTCACACACGCACCGCGCCTTGCACTCACCGTGTCGCTGACCAATACCACCAGGCTCCGGCAAGACGACCTTTATGCGACGCATCAACTCATACCTGCATGGCAAGCAGGATCCCCCCTACGTGATCAACTTGGACCCCGCTGTGCTCAACGTCCCTTTCGAAAGCAACATTGACATCCGCGACTCGGTCAACTATGAAGAGGTTATGAAGCAGTACAACCTAGGACCGAACGGTGGCATCCTTACGTCCCTGAACCTCTTCGCGACCAAGGTCGATCAAATCGTCAACCTTCTCGACAAGCGTGCTGCACCAGACCCAGCGAACCCCGACAAGAAGCCCATCAATAACATTCTTGTCGATACTCGTAAGTCTGCTGAATACCTCGGCAGACTCACCCTTTGCTAACACCGCCGCAGCCGGGCAGATTGAGGTCTTCGTTTGGTCCGCCAGTGGAACCATCCTCCTCGAGTCTCTCGCGTCCTCCTTCCCGACCGTCATCGCCTACGTTATCGATACCCCTCGAACCACCTCCACGAGCACATTCATGTCCAACATGCTGTACGCCTGCAGTATCCTCTACAAGACCAAACTCCCCATGATCTTGGTTTTCAACAAGACCGACGTGCAAGACGCAACATTTGCCAAGGAGTGGATGACGGATTTCGAGGCTTTCCAGCAAGCTCTCCAGCAAGACGAGATGAGCGATGTCATTGGCGGCTACGAAACGTCGGAGGGCGGAAGCGGCGGCTCCGGCTACATGGGCAGCCTCCTCAACTCCATGAGTCTGATGCTCGAGGAGTTCTACTCCCACCTCAGCTTCGTCCCCGTCAGCTCACGCCTCGGAACGGGCATGGACGAGTTCTTCGCCGCGGTGGAGGAGAAGGCCGAGGAATTTAAGCAGGACTACCTCCCCGAGCTGAAGCGTAGGCGTGAGGAGCGTGAAGAAAAGAAGCGCCTGGCCCGCGATCACGAGGTGGAGAAGATGATGAAGGGTATGTCGGTGGACGCGGGCAAGAAGCCAATGGTCGTCAAGCCCGTCGACGACGATGATGATGGTGTCGATGTCGCCAGCGACGTGGACGACGATGATATGCCGGATGACGAGGATGATCGCGAAGGTCTCCAGGCTCGGTACGAGGCGGCAATGGAGGCCGAGGGCGATTCTATCATGGCTGACGGCAGTTTCGCAAAGTATCTGCACACCCGGCCGACATGAGATGTTGCAGCACAGGCATGTGGGTCACATTTATTTGATATAGAATGAACAATTGGGCAAGGGGATGGCGTTTTAGACGGTTGCTGCATTATCATGAGATACCTCGAAAAAAAGGAAAAGGAACAGGTGCAGAAGAATGCCTTGCTCTATGAATTGATTTTGGTCCCCCAACCTTGAACTCCCGCAGCCCTTGCGCATCACATGTGCTGTTTAAACAGTTGGCTACTTGTCATGACTTTCCCTCGTATGAGACGCTTCCCCTGATGAAGCATATGCGGCTCCTTTCCAGACAGGCAAGCACGTCTTCCCACTCAGTCTCGAGTTTACCACTTCGTGTGTCATCCAATTCCGACCCTCAAATGCGCATCACCACACCGCTACTGCCGTCCCCCCCTCCAGCTTACACATCGCGCAAATATCAAATCCACTTTCCCAATATTTCTCAACCCCAATCATCTCGCCTCGAACTGAACCATTCTATCCCAAACCAGTCAGTCTGCGCTCTACCGTCTTCCCAAAAGCAGGCAAGAAAAAACTCACCTCTTGGTTCTCTCCTTGTAAAGAATACGACATCCACACTCCTTGCATCTGATGGGATCGGCGCGGCGCAGCTGGAACTTGAGACCGCAGTCGCCGCAGAGGTATTGCATCTGGGGGCCCTCGGCGCCGTAGGACTGGTAGGCGGCCGCGCTGGGCGCTGAGGCGGCGCCGGCGGCGGGAACTTGGTAGGCTTCGCGGGACATGTTGAGTAGCTGTATTCTCTCTCTTCTTCTTATCTTTCTAGTCTTTCGGTGTTGTGGGGATTCGTGACGTTTCGTTTGGGAGGTTGTTAAGGCGCGTCGGATATTGAAGTTTTGGCGATTTTCTTTCCAAAGGCGACGGGATTGGAAATGCAGGCAGAAGTCGTGGTGGGGCGGCTGGCATGACAATTTGTCAGGCGGTGAAGGCGCATAGAAGCGGCAGAAAAAAAGAAGTTTCCAAGGTTGGGCCTCGGGCGGTGTGCGCGGCGGTGTTTGTCGGGGTGCTGTCCAGACTCCAGTGGTGTGGTGGAGCTCTGGCGAATGAGGTGGGGGGCCTCTGAGCTGGCCCACTTCCCGAGGTTATCGCTTGTTATCCGTCCCTTTCCTGGGGGAAAGAGCTCTCCGGGATTTTGGAGGAAACAACCTAACTCTTGGACGCTGCAGTTTAGGTTGTCCAACGAACCTCACATCTTTCGCATCGTTCACTAGATTTCTTTTCTTCTTTTCAACTTCCCAAGATTCCTTCGGGCTCTGTATTACTTCCAAAGCGACATGACAGCGGGCGTTTCTAGACCCCACCCCAAGCATAATCACGACTCCATACACCCGATAATGCCAAAGCTCCCCCCGACTTCCTACACAACCACAAACACCACGATACCGCCCAGGGCCACCCCATCATGACACCAAACTCCCAATTCGACGCGGGCCTGTCCCACCCAGAAGGCCAATGCCCCTTTTGCGTAATCGCAACAGAATACCCTCCCTACGACCCCTCCAAACCCCCACAAGACGACGGCCCCAATGCAACCCTCGACCCAAACCGCATCCCCACGCCCGCCTTCATCGTCCTCTCGACTCCTCTCCTCGTCGCCTTCCTCGACATCCTTCCCCTATCCCGGGGCCACCTCCTCCTCTGCCCGCGCGCCCACCGCCCGAAATTGACCGACGCCTCACCCGAGGAGTCGGCCGAGATGGGCCGCTACCTGCGCGTGCTGTCCAACGCCCTGGCGCGCACGACGGGCGTGGAGGATTGGAACGTTGTGCAGAATAACGGGGCTGCGGCGGCGCAGGTTGTGATGCATATGCACTTCCACCTCATTCCGCGACCCGAGATACGCGCGAGCGGGCGCTATAGCGAGAGCTTCACCATGTTTGGGCGGGGCCGGAGGGAAGAGTTGGACGATGAGGATGCGGAGCATTTCGCAAAGGAGTTGCGAGAGAACGTGGCTGATATCTTGAGAGAAGAGAAGCACAAGCCGAAACTTTGATGAGCGAGATGGGATGAGGACTATGCTTTTTTTTTTTTTTTTTTAAAAAAAAAGATCATTTATTCATCTCATGTATATCAAGGACTATTACGTCCTAGCTGCCTGTGTGTGGCAGCATGTGTTATCACGCCGTAGCGTTGTTTCGTTTCTTTTTCAACTCATTATGTGAGTCCACCACTTCTTCTCACTCATTACATTCCTGCCCGGACTGAGAAATTTACTCATCATCACCAAAGAAGACCTTGACACCATCGGGAAGGAAGGTGCCGTCGCAGACCTTGAAGCGGTCGGGAATGGCGGAGATCTTCTTGATCTCGTCATCGGTGAGGGACCATCCGTCGAGGTCGTAGTTGGCCTTGATGCGGCCCTCGGAGACGGACTTGGGGATGACGCTGACGTCTCTGGCCAGGCCCCACTGGAGGAGGACCTGCTGGGGAGTGCGGTCCTTGGACTTTGCAATCTCGAGGAGGGTCTGGTTGGTGTAGAGGGGGGAGTCGGTGCTGCCCAGGCACGAGTAGGCGGTGGCGTGGATGCCCTTTGACTTGCAGTACTCGAGGAGCTTGGGGGAGGGGTTGCAGGGGTGAAGCTCGATCTGGTTGACGGCGGGGACGATCTGGGCATATTGTTAGCATGGGCAATTCTGGAAGGGAAGAAGAGAGAAGTACCTTGGTGGAGGGGTCGCTAAGAAGGCGCTCGAGGTGGGTGAGGCCAAAGTTGGAGACACCAATGTTCTTGACCTTGCCGGTCTCGACGAGCTTCTGCAGCTCGCGCCAGGTGTCGACGTAGTCCCAGTCGGGGTAGTGCTTCTTGAGGTCATCGGGGTCGGTGCTGGAGGGCCAGTGCATGAGGTAGAGGTCGACGTAGTCGGTCTGGAGGTTCTCGAGGGACTTTGTGATGGCCTCGGGAACGCGCTTGTGCCAGGGGTTGTCGAGCTTGGTGGTGAGCCAAATCTCCTCGCGGGGGACGCCCGAGGCAATGATGCCGTCGCCAACCTCCTTCTCGTTCTGGTAGGCGAAAGCGGTGTCAATGTGACGGTAGCCGTTCTTCAGGGCAGACTCGACGGCGAGCTTGACCTGGTTGGGGCCGGACTGCCAGGTTCCCAAGCCGATGGCGGGGATCTTAGCACCCGTGTTGAGGGTGAAGGTACGGGAGGTCTGGGACATTTTGGGCAGTGTGTGGGGTGTACACTATAGAGTCGGGGGTATCTTGGAATAGAAAGCAAAAGACTCGGAACGGGAAGAGAGAAAGAGAAGTTATCGTGGAACAGCAAGAGATGCGCCTGGGTGGGATGGGGGAGAGCTCTTTTGTATGCGCTCAACACGGCGGGAAATCATGTAAGCAGGCAGTAGATGGGACAGGAAGCTACGACTATTGAGCTCGGCATCCTTTGCACCTCGTTTTGTTCCATTTTTTGATCGCCTATTTGTCTATCCGCCATGTACTTTACTACCCAAGCTGAGGAAGGTACTATGTAAGTGTGAAAGGTGAGGTAAGTGCCACGTAGAGTACCTGCGTTCGGGTGATAACGCTCCTACGCGCGAGGTATCTTTCGTCTCTGTTTCCTTCTCCATACCTTATGGAGGGGTTGAAGGAGAGGAAGGTCCAGTCCATTGAGTTGTTTGGCCCCCCGCCAGCCCCTGATCCTGCCACTTCTGCCACTCCTGCCCCCAAATGTCCAGAGCTGCCCCTCCCCCCACCTCGTGTGCGCCTGGGAATGACGCAGGAGCAACCGGGGACCGGGGGTTGTATCTTTTTCTTTTTCTCTTTTTTCTATGCGCGTTGGATGCGCCTCGATGCGCCGGTCCGCGGGCACTTGCCGACCGACGACCCGCCAACCTATCCGCTTCCAGCGTTTCTGCTGTCTAATACCTATCAAGATTCTTTACCTATCAGATACGGCAATCTGGTTTCTGCTGTGGTGCCGCTATCCCCGAGGGAGCAGTTTTACCAGTTGAATCCTTCTCTAGTCTGTCTCCTCGGTCCGTTACCCCCTTTCACATATGCTACCTTAGTAAGGATCTCTTTCATATGCCTTCATCACTCTCATTGTGTCATTGACAGTTCCGCGGGGTGAGTAGGTATTCTGGATAGTACTTCGATATATCCAGCAGAGGGGCAACGATCCAAGAAATAAAGAAACGGCCGGGGAATTCACGCCGAGCAGAAAAAACCAAGCCAGCCTGGACCTAGTCAGCCCAGCCGTTTCCTTTCCAACCCGCCTGATTGGCAGCGTTTGTTACCCGTCCCAATCCGCGTCGCTGGGACCGGGCAAATGTCCACCGACGCGCCATATTCTTTTCAATACTCCCTAAGATACGCACTTTCTCATAAAATTCATACTCGCCCCATCGACTCTGCCGGGCCAACAGGACGTCACACAATTGTTGGATGCAATGCGCATCTAGTTGGCCCTCGAGAGGCGGCGCATGGACTTTTGACGCCCAGTTCCCGGGCCTGCGGAACCTGGGCCCAAACCTGACTGCGCAACACTGCAGCCGCGCGAATGTCTTGCCAGAGATTCATCGACCCCCCACCTTGCCACGACTCTTATATTCTGTGACACTCGTCTTGTTTTCTTCTTTCTTGAAGAAGAACAATAAAGAACGTGCCAGAACAACATGGAAGGAAACCCCTCTGCCTGCTTCATTCCCTCTTCTGCTCATACCCTCCCCCTCTATTTTGACTATCGTATGTCTTGGGCCCTTGTTGTTCTGGAAGAAGTCGTCAGCTTTCGAAGGTTTGCCGGTCGTATCAGTTGAACTGCAGTTTCTGCCAAGTGGATGCCTTACTTCATCTCCCCCTAGAGCCATGCTGTATTCTCAGCTTACTCCCGATATGAGCCTTTTCTTTTGAACAATCATCTCAAGCCAAGGTTTTGCTCTCTGGAAGTTGACTTGGAGAAGACCCAAGCTCAGGGACCCATGCCCCTCTGCTGACCATCACTCTCAAACCCCCGCAATGTGTCTGTATAACCAGCTTACTCTTTGTAGCTTGTTTCACAGGGCATGAGTTTGACAGTTGGTAGCAGTGAATACTTTGTGGATGACAGATGAGACAAGACAACATGTCGTTGTTTTAAGCACAATGTCGCATTTAGATCCCCGAGACTCGGCCCGATCACCTTTGGCGGGATGGGTTCGTTCGGCAAGGCCCAACGTGTCCCGGTCCAAGGTACTCAACTTACCCCATCAGTGGCGTGATCGTCGAATGAGATGAGCCTAGCGGAATGGGCTTGAGGTATCCGTAGCCACCTGTAACATTGCATTTGCAGAGTCATTCTTGTCAATGTTTCCTATTTTGATTATCTTATTACAAGGCGCCTTTCGCCGTTCCCTTGAAACTGGCTCAGACCGGTGAGGTCCTTTTTGCCGTGCGCTGCTTGGTATTGAGATCTACTCAGCCGGCACAAAACTTAGCTTAACTATGAGATTTCCCAGGGCAGAGAGACCAGACATCATTTGAATACATAGAGTGTAGCTAGCCCTTGCCAATGCCATCCTGGCAACACACACACACACATGTCAGTGCTCCAGATCTCCTCCTGGCCCTAGACCGCCCGAGGTCGCCATTGGTTCCTCTCATTGACCCGGATCTCCGCTGAATCGTACTCCATCTGATGCTCTACAAACTCTATCAGGACGTCAACGACATCTCTCTAGCCAACTGCTAAGCCTCGGCCCAAATCTACTTACGTATACTTGCTCGCTCACGTTGAAGCTACCCCTAACTAGCCTTGAGGTTTTGCTTATCTTGGCACACGATGCACCATGGGCCGGGGTGTCTTTTTCAGTTGCTGGAGAATAGGATCGGAAGTAGCCCAACGTATTCACCGTTATGGACTGAGCTAGCTTGCTCGCAGGCGATGGAAGTAACGTATCCTAGTAGACGGTCGGTAATGGAAGACGGCGAGGCAAGGTGGTACTAGGACCTTGAGAGGCAAGCTACCTTTATAATTCCTTCCTACATCTAGCTCATCAGGGTGAGGAAGCCATCTGATTTGGATACCTTACCTCTCCCCATCTTCTGCTCCCCTCTCCTCTTTTCCCCCTTTCAATCTCACACATCCAAATCAGAGCAGTTTCTCTCATCCACCAAATTTTAGTCACTATATAACGTCATTTAAGCATTTACCACCACTCAGCATATCAAACTCCATACTAGAGCCTATGGCGTCACAGGGAGCTTTGGAGTAACTTCAGACTCAGACACACGATGAAATCACCACGCCCCGGACGGAAGTTCAGAACTTCTATATTAAGTTCTGTCAGTGAGCATGTGCTTTGAATGTCTAATCAGGAAGAACGAACCTGCAAGAGGCTAGGCGAGTGACGGCTTGTGTCATTGCCTTGATTTCGCGTCGCAGGTCTTGATAACATCGCAAAGAGCTTGCACATGTTTCGTATCTTCTTCATATCCCATCAACTGCTAAATAGCGTCAGTACGTGTTACAAAGGGTAATAACGAATTTGGTGTGAATCCGACCCTATTTTCCCCTGTATACGTCTATGAATATCGTCGAAATGAAGCCGAGTTGGAGAAAGCCTGGAGATGGATATACTGACGCCATCTAGCAACTAAGTCGGATGGTGTGCCGGAACCTCTATTGCTCCTCCAGTTTTGTGTTTTGTGTGCGGTTATCATGGTGCCATGATCTACTTAGGCACATCTTCCCTGATGACTAGCTGTATGCTATAGAGTAGAAATACGGAGGGTTTTGCGAAGTGTCTTTCTCGAAGAAGCAGCATAGCTTAATGGCAAATGACACTGGAACGTACACAATCTACGAAGTAGTCGGCATTGGTCTTAACAGTCCGGGAGCTCGAAACGGGGGCGCGCTCACGAAATTTGCAGCCGGCTAGGAAATCGAAGACTTCTCAACCTCTTCCCGAGCTATACGAGATTAGTAGTCAAGTCCTCAAGATGTACAAGCCATGCCAAATTCCTTCTCTCGACGCCAAAAGACCCCACCAAGCTGCGAAGTCCTAGATCTCGCAATGGCCGTTTGTAGTGTCGGCAATCCAGCAATTCTGCGACCTTGTCCGTAGCCGCAGGGAATTGAATAAGACGCGACTTTATACTTCTCCAACGGCCTGTATGCCCGCATTAAAGAACGTCTTGGGACCAAATCTGTGTCTTGTTTATATCCCCGCCCCTGACAAGTAATCATATAGGCTGAAGCCGAGTTTATGATCTCAGGGTCGTTCATCAATCATCGAAAGAATGGTCGAGGGCCGTACTTGAAGATACTCCGGGCGCCGATGATTCAGTCCAGCTCTGACAGGATGAAGTTGCAATGGATTGGGTGTTCTACGTTTGCATTGCTCTTCAGCAAGTCTGAAAGTTTGTCTAGTGGTACCGGTTTTCACAAGCTTTCCAGATTGACCTCCTCCTTCCTCCGTCTCACCCTAATCTTTGCTCCTGTATTCCAGTTCAAACTGAAGCCGTGCGCCTGCACCGAACAATCAGACCCGGGAACCAGCTCAAGATCATACTTTAGAAGCAAGTGGCACATGGCAATCTTGACTTCGTTTGCAGCAAAGAAGCGTCCGGGGCAGGCATGCTGTCCGTGGCCAAAGCCAAGAGAATCTGGGCCCGTTGTTACGAATGCGCCTGGTTTTCTTTTCCCGGTGTATGGCGCATGCGCAGGAAGCGGTAGCCGTCAAACTCGAGGGGGTTCTCGTAGATTGCCGGGTCGTGTCTCGAGGTGTTGGCGACGGCGCATTTCATAGCTTTGGGAATGACCGTTCCATCAGAGAGCTGAACGTCAGCGTCGGCAATGCGGCCCATGGAAACTGGCAGTGAGAATTGTTAGAATAAGTGGCTTATACATGCTGCGAAAAAAAAAAAAAAGGTTTTGCGACTTACTCGACTGAATCGGCTTCATCCTCTGCGTCTCTTTCATCACGCTATCCAAAAGCTTGAGATTGAAAAGCGACGTCTTCGCCCAGCCTTCCTTCACGAGAACCTCAATCATCTCAGATCGAAGCGCAGCCACCAACTCAGGTCTCGGAACAATGTTCAAAATCAGTTGCGTCATGAGGTCGGTCATCGTATAAATCGCAGCTCCAGCGAGCGCAAGTTGGTAGATGGCCGGGTCATACTCTGACCTTGCGGACTCCTCCTCACCCCACTGAATCGCATCATCATACGTCGGCACCGGGCGTCCTTGTTCGACCGCGGCGCGCTTGTCGCGCGTGCTCGGGCGGCGATAAGCGGCTGAATGATGGAACGGGTCTGGGCCACGTGGCTTCGAACGCGCTGGCACTCTGGTAGGAGCCAGTGGGCTATACGTCTCAGGGGCTTTGGAAACATGCGAAGTCTCTCCGCTGCGATGAAGCAGTCCACCACGTACATGACTGTGATGTTCAGCCATGCTTCGCTGCGGCAGAGTTCCGGGCCGAGGAAGACGCGGGAAGAGAGGCGGGAGACTACGTTGAGAATTGTCTGGCCCAAGCTGACTTCATGCCATTCTGTACATCCAAGGGTGTCAAACTGGAGTAGAATATGGGGGGTACTCGGGAAGTCCCTACCTGTCGAGTCGCCAAGGACTGTCTGAAAAGAGAACGCTGTCTCATCAGAAAGTGGCTTCGTGATCTTCGCTTTTATAGCATAGTCGGGTTAGACTTTGGGGCGACAACAAAGAACAATGAGACGAATGGAAGGCTTACCTAGAAACTTGGTGAGTTGCTTCTTGGCGACCAAGATGAGAATCTGGATAGCGCTTCCCGCCCCAAATGGTTCGAAACCAGGCAGATAAGCATGGAAATCCTGCATCATTCAGGTCAGCAATTTCTTTTAACATCTCAGGAATGCGTACCTACATGTTCCGTATTCTTCAAAAAGCTCAGCTTTGGGTCGTTTCGAACCTCATCAACATGCTTCGGAGCCAGCATAATCACGCGGCCGGTGTCAGACATGACGCTGTAAGGCTCTCCCCCAAACGTCTTGGAACCTTGTTGAATGATTTCATTGCTTCGCTGAACAAAGTCCCTCTTGACGGCTGCTCCACTTAGATCGAACAGCTGCGGCGGGTTGACGAGAGGCGGCAACTTGGACTTGTGATCGGTCCAGATTTTGTAGGCTATGACAGCGGTCATCAAGGCAGCTACGATGCTCCAAGCCTCGGCTGAGAGTCTCAAGCTATCCGAGAAGACCATCGAGCTGCGGCTAGTAGCCAATGTAGAAGCTGACGGTTCTGATGCCATTGGGAACGGTTGCAGAGATTGTGACGATGTGACTGCTGCTTGGGTAGACGGTGTAGACGACTAACAGGACGATCTGGTGGACTTCTTTTTAGACATTATATAATTCACTCGATACATTGCCCATTAGAAGTCCTGTAGACGGAGACGAATACGGATACGCTCACCGCAAACATCTACAGCCCCCGAACGCTTGGTATTTACAAAAATAACACAGCGTTTCAGCAATTTGCCGTCATAAAGGGTAACATCTCCATCGACAACGACTCAACTTACACAAACGCCAGGGTCTGTACTTTCATATCTCGAACAGGAAGAGTCATCTCTCGGACCGAAGTAACGATCCATTCGCACGAGAGATAAGCCATCGGGTTGTTGGGCGAACACCGGCCCCCGCCAAGCTGACATGACACGACATATGCAGGGCAGCATTATTATTGATTCAAAAAACGATTGGCAGCGGCTCGCGAACGTGAATCATGGGCTGCAGGCGAGATTTACGAGAATCTACAAACGAGGACAAGGAGAAGGTCGGAGCTTACGGGGGTCGGCAGAAGGCAGGCCGGCAGTCGCAACCCCACTTCCCGCACCCGGCAGATCGGGCTGGTAAAGTTTGCGTCGCTACCACGACTATTCCGGCTTTGTGGCACAATTAGCATAAGTTGAAGCGCTGTTTCTTTCCTTTGAGACCTGCGACTTATTACTTATGGAGTGGTCTAGTGGCAATAGAACTTTTTTCGAACACACAATTCTTGGGTAACAATGGCTTCCGAAGCGATCGGACGTTGACACCCGTCCCACCGGTGCCGATGGGCCGGCTCTAGCGAAGGAGAGACAGAGTGTATCAAGACTGGTCATCCCTGGTTCAACTGGATTGAAGATAGTAAGTATGCATGCATTAATAGCATACTGCAGATTGGCCACAATTGAAGGTCTAGATGGATTTTGAAAGCTCGTAGTTGAAGCGGCGGTCCTTCCTAGACGTCCTGCTGCGCCAAGCCCAAGCTAGTACGTCGGCGCTCATGGGAATTGCTATATATCATCCCACCGGTCTCCACAGTCGTCCGACTGCCAGGGGACTACCAGGGAAAACATCTCTCGGGAATCTTGAACCTTCCACGCATGGCACTCTAAACCTGGCATAACCCCCCACCGAGGGTCGCTCGGATTATATTGCCTTTTGGGGTGTTCATGATATGCTTAAGTAGCAGATCGTTGAAGCTGATGACTCTAATATAGAAGACTATTGTGAGACGGCTATCTTTTGCTTTCGCAATGAAGGAAGTCTTTGCCCGTCGATACAAAACCTCGTGGCGTGCGGTGTTGATAAGAGCGTTTTCTTGATTTCCCCCTCGAGCTACAGTATCCCGTCGACTGCTATTGAAATATACTCCAAGAGTGCGTACTTCTTCGAAGGGTACCAGTAAAACATGTTTTGATCTGTTTATATTTCCCTTGTTTTCGCCTTTTAAAAGGGGTAGAGTTGGAGAACAACTGGAGATGCTTATAGATACGCCGCCTAGCAGTCGATGGGATAGGGAAGTAGTCTCGATTCTCCTATTGTCCGCTCTCTGAATCAAGGCTGAAATAGTTGGTAAAAAGCTATGGAAGAATAAACGTCATTCGACCAGGTATTGATGCGAATACGTTTGCTACTGAATTATAGGGAGGTGGGAGTGGCTCCTCTTGGGTACATGTAGAATCGTTTGTATGTACGGGACGGGACGATCCCTTTAAGAGATATCGAAGCTCAGCTAGAGATCTCTGGAGACATTACACAAGCGACTTATGTATATCTAGACCATTAGCTACCTATGGCAGTGTAACTAAAATGCTACAACTTTTCCCATTCGTGCAGGGCGCAAGGATGGGTAAGGCAGCCAGGAAAAGCAGATCTTGGATGCTTAGAACATCAAGCAAGATGCTCTTCTCTTGCCTTGGCATGCAAATTCCAAGATCTCTCAGTGCAGTGTATCAAGTGAGCAATATTCATATACACTGTTGAGCAAGGTAAATCCATGTAGCCCTGCCAACGGTCCGTTACTATGATATCGAAGTTTGGACAATCGTTGACGCAAGCTGCATGTTACCTTGGCTGGCCACAAAAAAACATACAACACCAGGTATTCGCTGATCGTCACCGACTCAACTACTGATCTGGCCCTCATCAGCTTGTCTATGGGAGAGCGGACGGGATCCCGAATTTTCTGATGGGTGTGGTCGTATGTGCTTGTAGATCGCAGGAAGTTTCATTATATCGGAAAGAGAGCATTGCTTCACTGGCTCACCCTGACGTGGGCTAGAAGTCATCGGGCCTGGCGGGGATTTGAACTCCACGCATCAACCGTTACTGAACGGAATGCTCCGCATACAGCCAGTATCCCCTGAGACCTTTCCAATAATCCCCAAAGCCAAAGTACCTCGCTATTCGGAGAGAGGTTTGACTTCCTAGTGGCTGCTGAAACCCCCGTGATTATTGCAACTATCGTATGATGAGGCGGGAGCATCATCACAACTCAATGAAAAACCCAATTGAGGCTACCTCAGGAGATTCAAAAACCCCGAGGAGAAATACGTGAATGAGTGTGAAACCAAATACTCTCGTTGGCAAATTGGGCGCGTACAGGCCCGTTTCCCAGTCCATAACAGTGAGTTTGCTTCATGGATCCTCTACTCTTCTGATAACATCAACAAGTTTTCGTGATACGGTCATGGCGATAATAGACACAGACGAAGTGACAGCACGCATTCTGACTCGAACGCATGCTTTACATCATCATCTACAGCCACCCTCAGCGAATCATCCCGTGTGTATATATTCATACCGGCTTTATAGAATAAGGTGTACACACAGAAGCAAACGCCCTTCAAACCATTTCCGTCACCAGCACAACAGACGCTTTCCTAGGTCGGTCGGTTAGGTCAAACTGTCTGAGTGGTGTAGTAATTCAAGGTTAGCAATCAATTATCTTCGCCAAGCAGCCTGCTCGACGATAGGCTCCGAGTTCGAGGTTCGATTCCCAGCATGAGCACCAAGAGATGTAGTGCCGTCCCGGCGGGGGTGGGAAACTCCTTTCTTCTTCTGTTTCCTCTTCTCTTTCCGGAGCCGAAGATTTTGAACCCCGGGTCTTCGGCCCCGTCCCGCTCATCGTGAGCGGATACCCGGAAACCAACCCTCAGTCGAAAAACCGCACGGAAGGCCCGAACCTTTTTTTAATTTTTTAGCCCCCAAGACTCTGGCCCCCCGAAACGTACCCCCCAACTGACGTCGCTCAAAAGGCCGACGGGACCTTTTATGCGGCCTGCGGACATAACGTCTTGCTGCTCTCGGCAATCAAACCAAGCAGGGGAGCTTACAGGACCAACACTGTTTCCCCAAGAGGTTGAAAATGGGGGACATTCATTGATTGGCGCACAGAGCAAGACCACACAACATGCTGAGACTCGGGCATGTCTGCATCTTGATTGACACCCAATCTATAGCAAAAAAAAAAAAAGGATACAAAAAAAATACAGATATAACTCATCTTATTCCGCCATATCTCATTGTTCCCAATCTTTTCGAGATTTCCATTACTCCGTACGGCTACGCCGTTTCCTTTTCGGCGCAACTCTTCCAAAGTTCCCCCCCTCAGTCCGAAAGGAGAGAAGACGAAACGAACTACATCCGTGCGCGCGACAGTGATCTTAAGTGGTTGGCATGTGAGGGCCATTGCTTCCATTGCGAGTGTCGCATTCTGTCGCAACTCGAGAACAGCTTGCATTTGCATCGCATTGGAAAGACGATGATTGACTTCAAATTGTTGTCAACACAAAGCGGGAGAGAGTGCATCGCATCATGCCGCGGGTGGATCGCTACTCAAGCAGGAACCCGATGGTACCCTCTTGCTGGAATCGATCACTTGTCGAACTGATGATCGAACACGAGAGAACTGATGAAGGTGGATGAAAAGTGGAAGTTGGTACTGCTATATAGAACACACGACGACTTTACTCCTCGGCATCACCGCCGGCAGCAACAGCCTTGGCGGCATCGCCGTTAGTAGCGGCAGGTGCCTCAGTAGCCTTGACCTCGCCCTTGGCGGGAGCATCTTCGACGCCGTTGGCAGCCTCCTCGTCGGCCTCGGCCTCTTCTTCCTCCTCCTCAGCGTTGTCTTCGCCCTCGGGCTCGTCTTCCGCTTCCTCTTCCTCATCGGCTGCCTCTTCAGCCTCGGCCGCGTCATCCGTGGCAGCGGTCTCGGTCTTCCGCTTCTTCGATGGAGGGGCTTTCTCTGTGGATTCTGCACGTTAGCTCTCTGTTTGGGTAGACCGATTGGCTTGTTGAGCGCTTTTAGATGGACTTACCGTCTACGCCGTTGGCATCTGCGTCTTCCTCGGCATCACCCTCTTCCTCCTCATCCTCTTCTTCCTCAACGTCGTCGTCACCCTCCTCTCCATCTTCCTCTGATTGATACCTAGTGGGCGAGCCTTGTTAGTTGTGTGGTGAAGGGAGATGGAATACAGGACAGTGATCGTGTATGCGAGAACGCTTCCAAGACCTCGGGGGAGCCTGGCGCATAGTTATGGCAGCATTGGAGCTTCAATGACAAGATGGCTCCATATGCGCATACAAATTCGAGGTCTGAGTAGGAACATCACTCGATGTTCACTATCCCTCAAAGGAAATCGACGGCGTGGGTAGGATAGGGACTACTTACTCCTCTTCCTCTTCACCGTCGTCATCGGGGAGGGAGACGAGCTCCTCTTCCTCTTCTTGCTTTCTCTTGCGGGTGGACATTGTGTGATGGAGGAGCTCCGGAGGGTTCAATTGGGTGTATTAGGTTGTCTCGGGATGAGAATTCAGTAGGAGACAGACAAGAGAGGGATGGGAAGAGAGAGAGATATGTAGGAGAAGTAGGGAGAGAAGAGAGAGAGAGTTGGGGGACGGCCAGGACGAAAGGTAGGCAAGGTAGGTAGGTAGGTCGACGCAAGGAAAGCTATGGGGGGAGGACGGGGCAAGGTCAAAGGTGGGTGGGTGCGAGTCTCCTGGTGGTAGCTCTGGCTCTGGGAGCGCAATGGGCGGGCGCGAGGAAGAGAAAAGAGGAGGGAGTGCGAGGCAGTGAGTGGTGTGGTGCGGTGCGTTGCGGTGCGTTGCGCAAGAGAGTGAGGACTGAGGGGGGGGGGTAGGGGAGCTCCCTCTCAGCTCCGTGGTGCGCGTTCTGCCATACTGTTTGTGAGGGAGCGTGTGCGAGGCAGAGCCGGCCGGAGGTAAGGTAGAGAGCCAGAGGTCCCAAGGAACAAGCGCCAGAGACTTTGGAGCTGGAGCATCTCCCAGTCCCAGAGACAAAAACTACCTAGGCCAGGACTGAGAGGAGGGAGGCCAAGATGGATGGGTGGAGGGTGGCTGGGGGGAGCTTCGAATCGATTGTCGGGGGGTGGTGCAAGCCGGCGACTGAGAGGAGAGAGAGAGAGAGAGAGAGAGACGAGACGATCAGCGGAGGAGGAGACTGGAGAGACGTGAGCGAGAGAGAGAAAGAGGATCGCGCGAGGGCGAGGGTGCGGTGCGCGGGCGCGGGCGTGGACGTCGGTGTGGGCGTGAGCGGAGGAATCGGGTTGGGTAGAAGATCCAAACAGGGAATCCAGACTGATCCGGCGCAAGTTGGTCGACGGTTCAGCGTTCGAACTCGGAGTCTGACGCTCTGGTTGGTCCGTCGAGCAGGAGGAGCTCGGACCTCTCTGGGGAAGCAACAGCATCACCATCCCTGCCCGGACCTAAGTTAAGGTGCGTGCAGCTCTGCGGCAGTATGAAGGACGGATACTCCGTAGGTGATACCTAGCAGCAAGCAGTAGCATCACCGAGGTGGGAGAGGACGAAGAAGCTCTGATGCCTTGCCGTTCCTCGTAGGAGTGCCAGTGTTCCTGAACTCTTGTCCATCACCCTCACCATCAACCCCCCGTCTGGAGCCCTCCCCATTCCCTCAGTCTTCCCCCCTTTACGCTTGCGTTGCTCTCGGTTGCTGCTGCTGCTGCTGCTGCTGCTGCTATCACCCCTGTGTCAATCGAAAGCCGTATCCGTAGCTGGAAGCTGTATCTGAGAAAGCCAATGACAGTCCTCAATCACTAGCAATTTCTCGATGCAGATACACCCTTGGTGTAAAGGAGCAAACCATGATAGCCGACCGCACGCTGACGTGATTGTACCCGGAACGGGACGTCATGAGCGCCGTCATCACGTGCGCTAGGCTCCCGAGTCCAGTCCATCCGGGTCGCAAATACAATTCCGTTCCGTCTTTAATCCGTAGCTGCTTGGCGGGCACCCACCAGACTCGACCTTGAGCTCCGTCATCGCCCCTCCAGTCTTTAGGTACTCACGTACTCAAGCTTGCACTTGCAGCCTTGAAAAAGCTTGGTAGCGGATGTCCTTGAGACGAGCGCATGCCCTAGTCGAGCTAGTTGATCAGCGAATACAGAAGGAGAGAGAATTTGAGAAACAGGAGAGGAAGAGAGTCAGTCCATTCATTCAATAATGACTAGAAGATGATACTCTTGAATGGTGCGGACCGTTCATCAACGCGCTCATGCATGGGGAACTTTCCGTCTTGCATCGTAGAGGAGAGATATGAGGGAGGAGCTGGTTCGCTGTGTTGACAATAGGGCGCGTCGTATACGCGACGTGTGACCACAGTCACAAAGTGCTCTTGGACTCCAAAGAGGCTGTCCCAGGTTGCCAACACGTGTTACTCAACACTGGTTGCGAGTTGCATCCTCGACCGACAAGGGTTGCGTGAAAAAGCGAGAAGGAGGCTGATAAGCGGCAAAGCTTTTACGCACACGCAATTGAGTGCAGGAAGTATTCGATAAAACATACGGAGACTCTGCTGGTTTGGCCCACTATGTTTGGCGGGAGCTACCGACGATGAAGGGCAAAAAACCTTACTGCCCACCAGCGATCGGTTTATCGCCAGACCTAAGCGGTAGGTATGGTGGTATGCTAGCCGCTCGGGTAGGGTGGCCGAGAGTTGAGAAAAGAAAGAATTGTCACTCGGCAACTGTTGGGTCACGAACCCGACCAGTCCGAAGGTTCCCCTCATGGTGTTTCCAGGGAGGATGAGACATTGCCGATCTGATATCCTGAAAGGGCTGACATGTCGATAGTCCGAGGCAGGGAGAAGGCATAAGAGCAAGATGATAAAGGTGAGTAGCTCGGGGACGGGACAGGCCGAAGAGATATGTGCTCTCCGTGTCCAATGCTCTGCGTGTTCTCGAGATGGCTGAGCTCGTTCCTGATTACCGGTATGCTTGTGGTGTGTATGGTTGTGGAGCCTATTGTGAAAGTTGGGTGGTATCCGGCTCTACGGATACAATTCTAAGTTGGCATAGCTTCAGCCAACTTCCAAGGGAGAGGTATAATGTATCTGGGCTGGAGTCGCCCATCGGAGCAGCCGCCGAAAGTGTACGTCGATGACACGTCGGCGATGCGCGGAAGACAGCGGACTGGAAAATTGGGCGATGTCTCGATAGCAGGTGATGGTGGTATTCATACTGGAGCGGAGGAGCGGATAATGATGGACTGTCCAAATCGTCGTAGTTGTTCGAAAGAAACAAGCAAGAATACCGGAACATGAGTCTTGACTCCCGCTCTCGAGCCCGAGTGCTTCGTCCCGATGATCGAGATGGGATTCAGGCGAAGCGAAGCGAGAAAATAAACGAGAACAACTTCTCCATGCCTTGCTTGTAATGGAGCCGATGATCGAGATCAATGTAGTAGCGGCCGGCGTGAGAAGGGATGATGCATGCCTGCTGGTAGCGATGTGCATGAGAACCGCCATATTGGTACCCGTTGTCCCTCCTAGCGGCGAAGGGCCGAAGGCTTCGTTGTCGAGCATTCAGGGTACTTTAGCTGAACGAAGACATGACTGTACTCGTGACTTGACCTCGGTTCTCTCATCCGCCATTGAGCATGGGAAGGAACCCCAACCAAAAGCCAAGGCAGGCCTTGCTGTTGGCGGGAAAAGAAAATGTCCAAAGACCAGTTAAGTCGGTCCACATTCCACAACTGGACGTCCAAAAGAAAGCATCTCCAGATGGAGAAAAGGCGCAGAATAAGGTCATGAAAAAAAGGAAAGGGAAGAATAAACTAAGGAGAGACTACGCTAGTTGAGGGAGACCCTGCCAACGGTGGGTTCTGGGTCCAGAGCACGCAGAATAAAGAGAGGGAAAAACAATAGCTTCTCCTACCTGATGCATATAATGAAATGGATCAACAAGCTGAAAATGACGATGGAGGTGCGGATTTTCTCTGGGAGACTGCTCGAAAAGGGAGAGCTGACCAGTGAGGATCGTTACGGTACGTTACCAGGCCCTGGGCCGGGAAATTGTAAGGTGATTGGGCAGTGGATGATGAGTACTCATTTGGGAATAGCTTCAGGCACCAGGGGCACTAGCAAACCCTCTTCCCGCGAAGTGGAATGGCCAGCAAGCCTAAGGTGGAGGGCCGGCCCCAAGCTGTCCCAGTGGGAAGGGCCGCCGGCGCCGGGCAGGAGACAGGCCTTGTTCGCTGGCCCCTGCAAGTAACGGCGCTGCTTGAGCCCCCTGCAAGTGGTTGCGTTGCGTCTGATTTCGGGACGTTGCGGTGGTCGCTGGTGCTGAGAGTTGGTCGGTCGCGGACGTGCTTCCGGGCCTCGTTTCTCTGACCTTTGTGTGTTCCCTTTGTATGTACGAGTAGCTACTACGTACGGATGTTCGTACAGATGGTACGTATGAAGTACGGAGTATAGAGGGGGTCGTGCCGCCATTCCCTGTTCCTCGACGACACGATGCAATGAGAGGGCGTGTCGAAGTCGCCCACCGTCCGGTTTCTTGGCCAGGATTTGATGGTTTGGTGATTTCTTTCCCCTGTGCCAGTGTGCCTTGTTTGTCTCTCTCAATTTTGCCCTTCTCGCCAGCTCGTGGGCGGGCGTCATATCGAGATAT